GCCATAAGAAAAATGAACATGACTTGTGCCTTCTTTCTTTCTTCATTTAACTTTCCCAATTGAACTGACAGCATAAGGCTCTACGGGACAGGAATGAGAGATCGTTGTGGACACTAGGCTCTTGATCCGATTCCCCATTAGATAGGCCGGTTTAGTTTAGAGCATAGGCTGAATGATGCAAGAATTCAATCAAGTTTCGTTTAAGAACAGTGTCATCGTGTGTTTGGTACCATTCATCCTGCTTTTGGGAAGTAAACAATTGGAGAGAAGTGCATTAGAGAAACATGCATTATGTCAATTTCTTATGGCAATCTAGTGTCTGAAATGATTTTTGATCATGCATTATAACACAGAGTGCGGGACCATTAGACACTTCCCTTGGGCTTACATGTGTGACACTCGCAATACTTAATAGCAGGTCTGCGACTTGTTATAACTCAAATGTCATGGGAAGATATTACATAGATTCGAATAAAGATGACGTGAACGATGAAATCAATTACAATAGGAGAAGGTTTGGGTTAAATCTAAATAATTTTGTCTCGTTCTCTTCCCAGTAATACCCCCCTCCCCACTTCCGAACAAAAGAAAAGCCCGATTATGTCGTGTGCCCTCAAATGGGAAAACGAGGGGAAAATTACCAAAAAAGTCATAAACCTTTTGCAATTGTGCCAATTCAGTCCTAAACCTTTTTTTTTTGCCAATTCAGTCCTAAACCTTTTGCAATTGTGCCAATTCAGTTAATCCGGCCACTTTTGGCCGGCCGGCGCTGACGTGGCCGCCGGCCTGCTGACGTGGCGCCGGCCGGTGTCCATGTGGCAATTTTTAATAATTTTTTTTATTATTTTTCGAAATTTTTTTTCTCTTTTTTTTTTTTTCGCCTATCTTCTTCCCCGGTCGCCGGTTCGGCGACCGGCGAGAGGCTGAGGCCGGCGAGGTGGACCTCGCCGGCCATGGGCGAGGCTGGCCCTCGCCGTCGCTAGATCTGGGCGAGGCCTCGCCGGAGACAGCGAGGCGGGCCGCGACGGCGAGGTCTCGCCGGATCTCGGGCGGCCTCGCCGCTCGCCGGGCGAGGCCTTGCCCGATCATGGCGAGGCCTCGCCATCACCGGGCGAGGCCTCGCCATCGGCCGGGCGAGGTCGACCTCGCCGGATCCGGGCGAGCCCTCGCCCGGCGACGGCGAGGCCGACCTCGCCCTGGCCATGGCGAGGTCGACCTTGCTCGGCGACGGAGAGGCCGGGCTTGGCGACGGCGAGGTCTCGCCGGATCCGGGCGGCCTCGCCCGGTCATGGCGAGGTCGGCCTCGCCGTCGTCATGCGAGGCGAGGCCTCACCCGGATCACAGTGAGGTCGAGCCTCGCCGTCGCCCGTGCAAGGTTGACCTCGCCGGCGATGGCGGCGCCCTCGCCGGTCGAGCTCGCCTCGCCCATGGCGAGGTGGACCTCGCCGGCCTTAGCCTCTCGCCGGTCGCCGGACCGGCGACCGGGGAAGAAGATAGGCGAAAAAAAAAAAGAAAGAGAAATTTTTTTTTTCGAAAAATAATAAAAAAATTATTAAAAATTGCCACGTAGACGCCGGCTGGCGCCACGTCAGCCGGCCGGCGGCCACGTCAGCGCCGACCGGCCAAAAGTTGCCAGATGGACTGAATTGGCACAATTGCAAAAGGTTTAGGACTGAATTGGCAAAAAAAAAAAGGTTTAGGACTGAATTAGCACAATTGCAAAAGGTTTAGGACTTTTTTGGTAATTTTCCCGGAAAACGAGTATCGTTAATGTTCTTTGAACATTATGTTGAACGCTTGAATATGATACACTTGCATAAATATATACTTATACTCAAGGCCTCATGACTTTATGGATTGATTTTGCAAACTAAAGTCTCACTACCAATATCACTTAAAAAAGAACAGTGCATGATGTCCAATGTCTGCATACACATTTAAAATGGCATCGTATCTATCACCAAGCAATAATTAAGGGCATCCCCAATCATTAGGGCAGGTTTTATTGGGCTTAATTTAAGTTATTTGTTCCCCTTTATCTCCATAATGCCACCATCTTTGATTGGGAGAGATTGCATTCTCATTGCAGGAATAACAAGAGTTGATGCTCCTTCAGCTGAAACGTCAAATGAAAGTTCCGCTTTATTTTTGTTCCGAAGGTGGTCTTAGATGCCCTAGAGAAATAAACAATGAAGTTTTTTTGATCGCTTTTACCTAATATGAAGACACCTGTCTGAACTTGGAAGGTTAAGAAAAGCATATTCATGCACCATGGTGGGGAAGTACCTGGCCAAGTCCTGCAAAAATACTATTGTTTCAAGTGATATATGATCAATCATATGCACCCACAGGTCCTTTAGGGGGAGAAAGTTCATATGCACCCATTATAAGGGGTATTATAAAGAACTCTAGGGTAAATGACATAATGAATCCATCATAAACACATGCAAACTTATTTCCTAGTAAGGACGAGGATGCTCATCTTAGATAAGTAATCCTGCACTTATGAAATTTCCCATTGGTCTGATTGGCTAGATAGACATGGAATTATTTGTAACTTGGCACAGTAAACTTGTGTTGCACACCTAATTTGCACATACATTAGTCATATCTTCCTTAAACACTTAAACCAAGCCCATGGGCTTCATTTTCGACATATGATCCGCAGCGAACCTAGTTGAGATGTTACATTGATATATATATATATATATATATATATATATAACTTATTTATTACTTCTCCCAATTATTCCCTATTATCGTAACACGCCACCTGCAAAATGCAATCTCAATGGCCCATCTATTTTACATGGGGTTCAGCGGTAATCTCACAAGAGAGTTCACTCAACTTAACTGCCTTAAGAGAACTCCAAGTTCAACCTCAAATACATATGCTATTAAGAAGTTATCATGACCAACCTCGACACTTATCGGGGCATATATAACTTGTGTTCATAATAATGCAAACGTTACATAAACCAGTCACAACAGTTGTCTTTAGGGACCAAGAATTTTTTTTTTTGGGGCCGTCATTTGGGGACCAAGTCTAAAGTGACAGGTTATAGGGTAGCATAGGTAAAATACATCACAGAATCATCTATTGATCATTTGTATATGTCAGTCATTATATGGTCATGAGCAAAGCATCTTCATCTTGATCGATGATTGAAGGGGATCTTCAAAAGCTTCAAGAAAAGGCCCTACCCAAAACGCACGCCGATCGCACATATCTCTCGTACTCCTTTTCATATATAATTCACTGGCTTTTCTCTCCAACTTATTCCGCAAATATAATAACTGTAAAAATAACCATAAAAAAAAGACAACCAATATAATTCTTGAAATCGTTCAAAAAGCCTTGGCCTTTGAATTCAACAAGATTCTCTCTCTCTCTCTCTCTCTCTCACTGAGCATGTGTATGTCGTACCTTCAAAACTGGGTCTGACCAAGTTTTCTTCTTGGTCGGACAATTATTTTGAGTACGTACGAAGTGACACGAAACAAAGAAACAAAGAACGAAGAGACTCTGTGGAATCTGAAGAGACGACAGGACAGTGTGAGAGTGACCCCAAAGGCTACTGCATTAGAATTCGGGGCATTCTCGTGGTCACTGTCCTAAGCCTACTTTGTCTGCACTACACTCCAACGATCCATGCTCAAGACACCGCACTGTTCAACTGAAATTCAATAGTACACAGCTTTACTGTAGTGAGACACAATCATTCATGCTAACTGATTGAGAACAATTACAGTTTGCAGAGGCTGATGAGGACAGGATGCTTGCTGCTGCTGCTTTGTTTTGTTGCTATATACAATTTTTGGTTTCTTTAGATACATGGATGGATGAGGGGCATCTAGCTATCACCAGAGTAATAATGTTCCTAGATACAGTAGTGTGTTAAAATCACTTTTCGCTTTACAAGTTGTGTCAAACTTTATGATTAAGTGTTTTCTCCCCCTCATTCAAATTATTCTCTCTTTTTTTGGTTTTTTAATCAATGCATCCGAAGTAATAGAAGACCTAGTTGAATGGTTACTAACATAATTCCTGGTTGCTAATGCAATTCCCCGTCGACATAACCTAACATAACTTCTCTCGTGTCGAGAACCTTGATGTTGTGCCGACTCGATGGTGGTCATTACTCATTACACATAATAGCTAGCTTTAAATGATAACTTCAAAATTCTGCATAATAAATATGTGGCATCAAAGTGAAACTAATGATACAGACATTTTTTGCTGATCAATTGGTGGTTGAGGTCCCTTTTTTAATCCGAGTGAGGGACAAGCAAAGTTAGTTTGCTCGATCGTCGACTTCCGTCTCACAGGTATCTGCTTAAGTCAAGCTGTTTAAAATCTTGGAATTTAAAATCTTGGAATGTTCAAGCGTTTGTAGATATTATTTCACATAGTTAAGCTAATGTTTTGAGATAGCTATTTGATTCTAGATATTAGGTATACACTGCTCATTTCATATCTTAGTGGAATATATGATGAAGTAATCTATCCGCAGAAAAATAAAAAAATCATATAAATCCCTGCAAATGTTTGCTTAATGAATAAATGTTATAGCTGGTGAAGTATCACCATCACCTTCATAACAGAAGTAAAATATATACAGGCATGAGTGTGAAGCAAGTGATTGAGCAGGGCAAGTTTCAAGTCCCTTCGCCAGATGTTATTGGACAATGAAAACCAATAATTAAAACGTGCAGTGTCATAGTCAACACTTTTTTTTTCCGGCATATATTCCTTGACGAGAAACGTCAAAGATATTAAGATTATCTTAAAAATTTTATTTAGTAAGTGATATGACAAACTTGCGTAACTGATCAATCAAATGAGCTGGCCCGTATTCAAACATTTTCGAAAGTTTGTCACACAACTTAATATACTAAAGTTTTGTAAATTAATCTTAATACCTTGACTATTATAAGTTTTTGAATTTATCACAATTTTGTCTTCTGCTTTCCAAATTCCTCCCTCCAACCCCATTCACTAAATGCCCTTTTGTCTACACGCTTTTGCCTCTCTCTCTCTCTCTCTCTCTCTCTCTCTCTCTCTCTCTACCCCCCACCTTTTGTTAAAACCGTGCTTTTTTTCAGATCTCTCTGTCTCCTTCTGCACCAAAATAGGGTTTCTTTCCCTTCATCCTCATTGAATTCTCACAGTCATATCCTCTCTGCCATAATTGATTCAAGGAATATATTAAATTCCAACCCCGCATGTTCCAATGGTCCTGTGACATATTCTCGTTCATCCTCGGAAGGATCAAACAGCAGATCCTGAAAGAGCTCACTCAGAGATAAAGAGAGAGAGAGAGAGAGAGAGCAAAAAAGAAAGGTAATGGTTTTTATGTTCCTTTTCTTTTTTGTTCTTGACCATGAAAAAAACCTAGTGATGGAACAGGTGAGCAAAGATTCTCTCTCTCATCTTCTTTTGCTAGAGCTTATATGTCTCAATTATACCATGATGGAATTATACCATGGTGGATATAATTTTTCTTTATCAATCTATGCTTAAGATGGTGAATTCCTACTGAGAATATTTTATATGATGCAATATTTTGAAAAATGAATTTTCTTGAAGTACAGAATAAGAAATGAGTGGGAGGAACAATGATCGGCGCCTTCTAGTTTTAGTTCCTGGGGTGGGGCTGGAGAGGGAGAGGGAGAGGGAGACAGAGAATTTTTAAGGAAGTCTTCCAAGTCTGGATCTTCATGGGTTTGCGGTTCACATATATATTGTCTTGATGATTAAAAATGGCACAAAAGTCACCCCTGTAAGTTCAAATTCAAGAAAGACAAGTTAGCAGGTGGAGAGAGAGAGAGAGAGAGAGAGAGAGAGAGAGAGAGAGAGAGAGAGAGAGAGAGAGAGAGAGAGAGAGAGAGAGATCTTTGAAGTTTCAGAGAATAAGGTGCAATTCAGCAGCTATGTAAGCAATCATGCAAGATCGTATGATATAAAAACATGCATCTGATTTAGTATCAGTTAAAGACTCGCTAAATCCAACCTTTGAAAATATGTTAAGATAGTTAACAATTTGTTCGAGGGTGCCAAGTTTTATATAAAAAAAATTGTTGAGGAACGAATAAGCAAGACCAGGCTTTACACTGCTTCAAATCGTCATGCAAATGTCCTTTTTCAAAACTTAAGATAAGGTTGCCGTCCATTCTATTTTTCAAAATTCACATGGATCTGACACGATTCTGTTTGTTTTCTATCTTGGCAATTTTGTATATTATGACTATGTAGATATGTTTCCTACAAACAGCCGTTTGTAATTCAGGTATGCACATGAACTATTGGACACAACTTTTGTCTGTTTTCAACATGTCAATTCATAGACTATGACTAAACACAAGCATCCTCAAATAATTATCAATTCACACACACGCACAGGTTTGTTCATGACCCATGGTATGACTTCTATGGGTATCTCTACGCAAAGCGAAGACTCCAAAAGTTTGGTCTTTTGTTGCAGTGTCCGGTGAGACTGTTGTCTATGGCTTCATCATCTAGTTACTCTAGCTCTCCGTGCGCTGCTTGCAAGTTCTTGAGGAGAAAGTGCCTGCCGGATTGCATCTTTGCGCCCTACTTCCCTCCCGAGGAGCCCCAGAAGTTCGCCAATGTCCACAAGATATTCGGGGCGAGCAACGTGAGCAAGCTCCTCAATGAGGTCCTCCCCCACCAGAGAGAGGACACTGTCAATTCCCTCGCCTACGAGGCTGAGGCGAGGCTCAAAGACCCGGTTTATGGGTGCGTGGGGGCGATATCAGTGCTCCAAAGGCAGGTCATCAGGCTCCAAAAGGAGTTGGACGCGACGAACGCTGATCTCATCCAGTACACCTGTCGCGAGATACCAAGCACGGTGTCTAGGCCGGTGCACCATCGGAGGAGGAATAATAATAACAATATGGTTCAAGGTTATGGAGATGGTGGTTTCGATCAGAACTGTGGAGGGTATTATCATCATCATGCTTGGAGTAATGGCCATGTTGGAGATGGCCAAGAAGGAGGTGATGGAGGTATGTGACACAAATTGTGCATAGGACCGGAGATTGATTGGTGTTTTTAGAAGGAGGTGATGGAGGTATGTGACACAATTGTGCATAGGACCGGAGATTGATTGGTGTTTTTAGCCAGGTTTTCATGGGATTAGATAAGATTAGGGTTAGCTATGGTAATACATGATTATCATGTGCTGTTTTGTCATGAACCATATGTATGACCTCTCCTCTGTGTCCAAATGGGGACTCAAGACTCTCTTCCTGTTGCCAAATTGGATGAAGGCTGAAGCTAGCAATGGTTCAATGAACCAATAAAAATTATCTCCCAAAAGCCATGTACCTTCAACTTTATGAAAAATGATTAGCGTAAATTCTATAGGGTTTCCATAAGAAAGCATAAAGATTCAAGAGATTGGAGTTTATTCTGTTCTATTTGGAGTTCATAGCTTCTTCCATGATGATGATTCATTGTTCCTTTTTATTACCCATGAGCATATTGCTCATGAAACCCTAGGAAACATCTTGAATCATTTACATATTTTTCCGGAAGTTTAGGACCATCACTGGTAGCGGCTCAAAAGGAGAGCCAGACAAGAGTGAAGAAAGTTACATTTAACTTAAAGAATTGTTCTGTAGTAATAAAGACGCCCTTGTATTTTCCAGGCCCATGTTCCATTCGGTGCTCGGACTTGCAAACTTCACTAATTATCTAGAAGCGAACCGTAAAGAGCGACTTATCACACTCGGTGAAGATTAGTCGGATTCTCGAAGATCTTGAGCAGTAGGGGGAGAGTTAATTGATTCTCGCAACACTATAATCCCTAACCTTGTTCCTACAAACGCCGAGCGATTCTCTTTTTATGATCTTCTACTCATGGATTGTGCATGGGATCGATTCAGAAAGTGAAACTTACATAACATGAAAAGATTCACAAGTCAGAAAGGTGCTTTATATAATGTTTGAACTGTTTTTATACAGGTTTGATTGGCTAGGCAGCTTTCGGCAGGATGGATAGATGTCCTCTCCTACAGTCCTACATAACTGTTGCGTATCTTTTTGGAAAAAAATTGACAAAGTTGATTGATTGGTGGACTATTAAGAATTGGGGATGATCTTACCTTAAACCCATTTTTAAGACTGATTGCGCCAATCAAAGCTAGTCTGGAGACGGTTGAAAATAATTGCGAGGCTCATATTAGATTAATTACTCGACATAGGTTTGTTCTTGTACTGTGATTGATTCGATCTAACTATGAGCACTATGGGGCAATCTTTCGATATTTATTAATCCTTTGTGAGCATGTACCCAAAAAATAGTAATTCTTGTAAATCATCCGAATGGAAGACTACCTCTTTGTGCATGTCACTCCCAACGATCACGAGAGGATCACATACTCAAAGTTGAGGGTGTTGATTTCAATCTGAGCAACATTTTGGTAAACAAGTTCAAACTTTTTTTTGGATGAGATAGGGGCTGGGGTGTGGAGACCTAAATATTTGGAAAGTCACGGATGACACTGCAAGCCCCATAAACCGGTCAATCCAAACCTCCGGTGCGTGTAGGTAGTCTCAACGCAAAGCAATTTGCACGTAATTGGTGGGATTCCAATGGGTATCTTCTAGCTCACGAGCTAAAAATCCCTTAATGCCTCAATAAATTATGCCAGCAGTGAAGGGTTGTTCAATGATATATTTGTCTATCAATCTGTACATACACACACATTAAAGCAATCACAAGCATATAGTTATCAAAGTGCTTAACAAAATTTGAGACCATCTTATTAGGAGACCGAACAATATTCTATTCATCAATTCAAGTTATATTTATCTCGGGATTGACCCAATCTTAAGGGTATTCCCATACTTTCGGCTCAGGAGCCAATGATTATGGGCGCGATTCTTGCTCAGGGGGAACTCATATTTAAGTAGCGGGCCATTGCAGTTGGTAGATTATAAAAATAATAACACAAAAGCCAAATTCAGTGTGTATATTCGGATGCACACGCAACGGAAATTCGATTTTCGCTAAACACCAGGCTGATGCATATCGACCTTCAAAGTAACTAGTTCTGAAAAGAAAAGTTAAAAGTAACTTTGATTTTCCCGTTTTTCCCGGATGACCACGTGCACTTCTCATAATGAACTCCAAAGCAAGCGTGTGCAGACGCAATACCATCGATACGTTTTGCTACTAGCTATGATTATTTCGAGCGACCTAATAAAAAAGGCTTTGTTTTTGGTGCTCCATTTCTAAAGTTCCAAATACAAAGCGTGCGCGAGAACAATGCAGGGGTCATCATCGGACCAAAAAAGCGGCGAACAGAGGGGAATGAATGGGGAGCGACGTGGGACAGGGATTGTCACGAGGTCACGTCGCGTCGCGGAAGGGCTTGTCGGATGCGCCCGGTCGTGGGCCCATTCGCGAACCGGCAACGGATCCAGTGGGCCATGGGCCCGATCGCGTGACTGGTTGATTGGATTGGACGTCTGCCCACGTCCCGGCCCGATGCCCACATGCCCCGTGAACAGTCCCCAGATTATTTTCGTTGCATCGTTGGGGGAAGAGAAAATGATACAAACAATCCTTGAACTTTGACTCAATATGTAACGTAGTCCATGAACTTTTTAATTTGTTCAATGTGGTTCCTGAACTTTAACCCGATGTGCAATGTGGTCCCTGAATTTTAACCCAACGTGCAATTTCGTCAATGAACTTTTAATTTGTTCAATGTAGTCCCTGAACTTTAGCCTAATGTTCAATGTGGTCCTTGAACTTTTAATTTGTTCAATGTGGTCCCTGGACTTTTGGTACATGTTCAATTTAGTCCATGAACTATATGAAAATGTTCAATGTAGTCCTTCAATTAATTCAAGTTCAGGGACTATATTGAACATTTTCATATAGCTCAGGTACTAAATTGAACATGTACCAAAAATTCAGGAACCACATCGAACAAATTAAAAGTTCAGGGATCACATTTAACATTAGGCTAAAGTTCAGGGACTACATTGAACAAATTAAAAGTTTAGGGACCAAATTGCACATTCAGCCAAAGTTCGGGGACTGTTTGTATCATTATCCCTTGAAGGAAAACACGGACGTCAGCACGTTCGTTTATTACATCACGAATCGACTCATGTCGCTGGCTCCTCGGAAAATCGCAATGAAGAGAGGCAAGCATAAGTTGAGACATTTTGAACAAAAAATTAAAAGATAGGTCATCGTCTTTCGCTCAATATGCAATATGATCATATTTGATATTTCTCAAATTAATTCAATGCGGTCCCTAAAGTTTAATTTTGTCGCCCCTAACAAGAATAACCATCACATAAAGTTGGATGATAAGAACTAATACATCACAACAATTTTCTTAGAGAACAACAATTTTCTAAATAAATAATTTAGACTCCAATTAATTTTTAGGGTTAATACCACGAAAAACCCTAAACTGGTACACTTGTGACACATTTACCCCAAACTATTTTTTGACCATAAAAAACCCCAAACTGGTACACCTGTGATAATTTTACCCTGAACTATTTTTTTGACCACCAAAAACCCCAAACTGGTACACCTGTGACAATTTTACCCTGAACTTACCACAAAAAACCCCAAACTGGTACATATGTGACAATTTTACCCTGAATTAAAATTTTAATATTATTTTTTTATTTTTTTCGAATTTTTATTTATTTTTTATTCTTTTCTTTTCTTTTTTTTTTCATCTTCAAACCCTGGTCGGTCGCCGGTCCGGCGACCGGCTAGAGGCGGAAGCCGGCGAGGGCCGCCGGCGAGGGCCGCCCTCGCCCGCCCAGGGCAAGGGCGACCTTCGCCTGACTCAGGCGAGGGTGGCCCTCGCCCGACGCAGGCGAGGGTCGCCCTCGCCAGATCCGACGAGGGCGACCCTCGCCGGTATCGGGCGAGGGTCGCCCTTGCCCTGGGCAGGCGAGGACGGCCCTCGCCCGACGCAGGCGAGGGTCGCCCGACGCAGGCGAGGGTCGCCCGACGCAGGCGAGCGCCAGCGAGGGTGGCCCTCGCTAGATCCGGCCTTCGCCCGATACCGGCGAGGGTCGCCCTCGCCCGATACCGGCGAGAGTCGCCCTCGCCGGATCTGGCGAGGGCGGCCCTCGCCGGCTTCCGCCTCTGGCCGGTCACCGGACCAGCGACCGGCCAGAGGTTGAAGGTGAAGAAAAGAAAAGAAATGAAAAGAAAAGAAAAAAGAAAAAATTCAAAAAAATAAAAAAAAATAATATTAAAAATTAGTTCGGGGTAAAATTGTCATATGTGTACCAGTTTATGATTTTTTGTAGTATGGTTGGGGTAAAATTGTCACAGGTGTACCAGTTTGGGGTTTTTTATGGTCAAAAAAATAGTTCGGGGTAAATGTGTCACAAGTGTATCAGTTTAGGGTTTTTCGTGGTATTAACCCTAATTTTTACTTTTGATTTTACGCAGATGAAAAATGAGTTGATCCCTAATATCTTAGAAAAGCTAATATCCCACTTATTTCATACTAGATCTCATTAGGACCATAGGTTTTTCTTTTTTTCTGATCGAAATAAAACTTCTTTCATTTCTTCAAGTAGTTCCGCGATCACAAACTATAAATGGGCCTCTGAACAAATCAGGTCCCATAATATTTTTGGGAATAAGAAACCCGGTTACTGGAAAGGGATTTTCGCCTAAATCTCTCCGAACGACAATGCGAAATTTTAGAATCTTTATTTTGAGGATCAAGACCATTTCGTAAAATTGACCCGACATCAAAATCTGAATTGATAACCCGACTTGCGACTCGACCCGATTCATCTGGATGTTCCCAAGATCCAGCCGTTACCCAACAAGCTTCCACGAGAAAGCTGGATGATCTCGTGTCGAGAGACGAGTTCGATCGTGCCCCTTTTCTGAGATGTTGACCGACCAATTAAGACCGTGTTGACCGACCAATTAAGACCGTAATTACTCGATGAAACACAACAAAAAGCTGACCACAAAATGATTGATCTCTTGGTCCTTTCTTCTTAAGATTTGATTAGGCTCCTGATTACAATGCCAAAGCCGTCTTATTAGCTGGGAAGATTGATTAAGAGCAGGGTATTCACTAACCTCGACACGCACGAGACAGTACACGATAAACATCAAAAGAAAGAACCAAAGACCAACGACAACATTCGTTTAAAAAGACATAGAAGACAGGGTAACTACAAGGTCCAACACCCCCCCGCTTCAAATGTAAACGTGCATGCAAATCCCAAAACGACTGAATACAAAAGAACAACTTGCTTATTCATCCCTTCTTCTTGATTTCATTCGAACCCTTACATGCAACCCCTGAATGATCGCTCACTAAACCCCATCATGCACGCTGTTAGTTGCTCCCCTCACTCCTCGTTGAACTCTACTCGATGGAGCCGTCGTTTTTCTTAAGTCCTCCCTCCACCGCCCCCGCCGCCAACTTCTTGGGCCTTGCTCTGCACCTGCTGGCCCACCTCCTTCGTCTTCTGGCCCATGTGCCCGGCAGTGTCCGCGAGCCGCCGCTTCGCGTGCTCCGCCATCTGCTCCGGCGACGTGCCGGTCGCCTGCCGTATGTAGTTCGCCACCCGCGAGAGCGAGGACAGCGCCGTCAGCCCGAACGCCCCCGACGTGAGGAAGCCCGTCACGGCGAGCCCGACCACCAGCGCGGCCGGCACGAGCACGGGGCTGAAGATGATGAACAGCGGGGTAGTCAGGAAGAGCCCGATGATGGTCCCGACGAAGGTGATCCCGGCGAGGCCGAGGAGGATGCCCCCCGCGGGGAGCATTGTCATGACCGCGAGGACCTTGCCCGCGGACGGGCCCCCGTCTGGCATGAGGCCCTTGCCGCCGGGGCCGCTGTTGTAGCGGTGCTGCGGATGGACTTGGAGCTGGTGGGGACGGTCTCTGTCCCTGTCGCGGTCCGCCATGGGCGGTGGCTGAACGGAGCTGTATGACACAAGTGAGATAGAGAGAAAGAGAGAGAGACAAGAAAGGAAGAGATAAGAGATGGAGGGAGAGAGTTAAAGTTGGAGGTGAAGGTGCGGTGGTTTTATAGTGGAGAGAGAGAGGGAGGGAGATGCACACGTAGGTGGGGAGACGGTGAGGAGAGGGTGTGCATGAGGAACAAGTTTCCGTTCGGGAGCCGAAACAGAAGAGAGGGAGAAGCAAAGCCAAAACAATGAGCGAGATGGCTCTCGAGTGTAGGAATCGAGCGACACCTCGGTGGCTGCTTTATTCATGCCTATTACTTCGTTTACCGTCGTGTGGTCTTCTTCTAACTTTCCCATGTGCTCCGTAGGTTCGGTTCGGTTCCGAGTGTGTTGTTGTTCGAAGAACTTAATGTTGTAATGGAAGGGATAGGCCTATCTAAAATTTAGATCAGAGCAGTGAGATTGGTGTCAACGTGCATGTCATGAGGAAACCGTAAATTCATCGAGTACTTGCGGTTTTGCCTAAAGCTATGACGAAGGTGCACAAGAACTTGGATATCAGTGGAGAACCCACTCAAAGAAAATTAACACTCATGGATTCTCACCTTTTCGGGGAAGAATCAGAATAAATCAAAATCAAGAAGAAAGCAAACAAAAAGCATTTGAAAATTGTAACTTTAAAGGACAGGAGGGGAGGTCAATTTGTTCTGTGGAACATGAAACTAGCTTAATCTAGTATTTAACTGCAAAATTCATGCCAGGCACATGAGAAGATTTACAACATATCATCAGATCTATTGCTCGCTTAAAGAAGCTCATGGTAGGGCCTAGAGCTATAAATGGAGGCATCACAGGGATGCTTGTTCTGGTGGAGCTCCAGCCTCGCCTTTGGCGGAAGCAAGCTCGGGCTCGGAATTTGGAATCCAGAAAGTGAGGACAGTAGATGCCGCTACGAACATGACCCGACGAGGAGCCCATTTCAAGCATGCCGCGACACCGATATGGCTATTCCAACATGCTACCTGGTGGATCAAGCCACAAGAAGAATGTCAGCTTTATTCTAAGACGAGAACTCTCGCATTTTGCACCAGATTCGCTAATTGAACTACGATCAACGAGAGAGATATTCACTATAATTAGTATATATAATGGTGAAATAAATTTCTTATCATGGCATTTCTTTGAGGGAGCGTTTATTGAGTTTTCCCATTTTAGTCTTTGATGAGATGGCGTGAACACATGTTTGGCTATGTCGTCCTTTGTTATGCAATGCTAGAACTAAAAGTACTATTTCAAGAAGGAAGTTTAACACTTTTCTATAATGAAGAAATGACAATGGTTGTTAAGAAATGCCATAAAGGTCACTCAGATAGACATGCTGATTGTCCTAAACTGTCCAAGTTTCTTCAGCTATGAAACTCAAATTTAGCTATTTGTGTGCTTTACTGGTGCCACCAAATGCTCTTCTAAGAGAAAAGAGAGCATTGGATTACTAGTCACACAGAACAAAAGAATTTACCTCACTTCGCCTGCTGATATTCCATGCATGCAAAGTTCCATCTCCCGAGCCTTGTACAAACGTAAAGTGATATTAGCATGGGTTTGAGGAGAACGAGTTTCTACTCCTATAGGTTCATGTATATCAAAATATGTTCCTGATCTTGAAATTTCTACAATAACATAGTGACAAGTAATTGGATAGTCTCCTCTAAGTTCTGCAGAATGGACAGATGGTTTGAACATCTCCATGATTTCAAAAGTTTGAAAAAATACCTGATACAACGTACTGGCCGTCTGGGGTAAAACTTGCCTCTATCGGTGTACTTGGAGATGGTTCTAAATTGAATCCACATTGCTGCAAGACGTGCACGTTTGCAAATAAGTATTTACAGGAAAGGTGAAAACTCAGAAAAGAGGGCCAAGCCCTATCACAATGATTCTAAAAAGAGTCAACAGATGCATGACAACTGCATTAAACCAAAACATGGGCAAAACTCCAAAACAAGGATGACTTATGAAGAAGACAACCTTATCTCCTGCATATGCATCGAGAACATAGATGTTGTTGTTTGTGGTTGATAATAGCACTGATTTTCCATCATTGCTGAACTTTATATCACAGACCTCAGCCATATCTCCACCGACTAAAAAGGCGTCAAAGGGGCCCTGCAAGACGGAAAAGATACCATAAAACTATTCGATCAATACTCTGAACTCCAAAACACCTATTAAGAAGTAATAATTCATTACAAAATATTACAACCTTGTCGTAAGAGCGTGAATCAAACAATTTGATAGCACCCCCTTCCATAGCTACAGCAAAGACTAGGCCCTGCTGGTCATATGCAACGGTAGGTCTGCCACGTAGACGCAGAATTCCCTGGAGACTACAAAGGTAAGCATCATCATAGTCTGCAACTATAACGGGCAAGGAGGACTGTATTGCAGCTTTTATGCGTTACTTTTAGTAGAATTCATGTTCATTTTTTTTTCAATCTATACAATGCTAGGGTTTAGTCAATAGAACTTTGAGTTCAATATTGACGTGATACCCTACTCCAACTAGAACATTAAAAATAATCTTAATTGTAGCATAATGTAAGACATTTATCTTTCTAAGTCTGTGTCCCCCACCCACGTTACCCCAACCCCACCACATGTAGGGATGCAACTAGAAGCACCATTAAAAGATCTTGCAATAAATTTCATTAGACTATCATATTTGGGCTTATCTAGTATAATAGGATGTTATACACAATGCATTAAATATGTACTAGAATTCCTGCACACGAAGAATTGTGCATTTACAACCAACAATTTAAAGATCTTATTTGATTCCTAAATTTTGAAATATCTAACAAGCGTAACATTTAAGCACAATGAATTGAGGTAGACTAAGAAAGCGAAAAAAAAGGGGGTAAGTAATAAATTATTGGTTGTTATGTGGTTATCTAGACATATGCAGAAAGAGGATTAGGAAAGGATACAAATCAGTATGGATATAATTGCATCTTAAAACTATTCGTGATCACAGTTTCATTTGAATAACACATGTCAAAAAATACAGACTTATGATCCCCAAGCTCAATACATTTAACAGAAAGATGTCAAGCCATTTGGTTTTGAAACTAAAAATACCTTAATCTCTATGTCTAAATTCAAGATTTTAAAGACTCATTTGCATGGAAAGACATCTGGAAAGTGGAAACATTTAAATAACAGGTAAAAGCAAACATTGATAAATTTTCATAAGCTAGTCAGGACTCCTGACGTATTCTTATAATCCAAAGGATGTGCATTAAAGCTAACATGTTCCAGTAATGACTCTTTCTGGTCGATGCTACTCACCAAACTTGATTCCATTAGCTCTACTTATGTCAACAACTCAACTTTAGCCATTGAATTTTTTTTCTTCTGAAACTAGCAACCAACCTGGCAAGCATTCACACGGAGATCCCACATTCTCACGCTGTGGTCAAGAGAGCCTGACATGAAGCTATCATTGATTGGAGACATGCACAGGGAAACAACTCTACAGCAGAAACGAAAGATGAATCATTATAACAAGATCTGAAGAAAAAGCTCGAGATAGATGACATCGGAAAAAAATCACAAGTATCAACAACACTAGATAGCTAAAACAGCCTCATGCTTAACTACCCGAAATAGGAACATGGAATACAATAGCAGGCCAGTAGCCATCACAGCACTAGATTAGCTCCTTCTTCCTGCTAATAATGAAGATATAGAACTCAAACCTCTGTTTGTGTCCCTTAAAGTAGCGGAGGCATCGGTTATCATACATTGATAGATATCTTAAGGAATCTGAACATTCAAAGAAAAAGAAATAGTTACTATCCTTCCTGAAAATTACTGTTTGAATCAGATAGCATACTGCCCATTTCATGGAAAAAAACAGACCTCCAGTTTCTAAGTTGTGCATCGAAGAGCATATGATGGAATTTTGATGATGTGTAAAGCACACGCGATCAGTGCCATGTTTCTTGTGATAGGTTGTCTTGAGCAACCTGCAGCTCATCAACGAACAAGCTGTTTTACTGAAGAAATCTTACAGAGAGAACACCTCGAGTTTCACCGTTGAACAGAGCAGTACATCTCAAGGAAGTTAGCAAAGGACGTTAACCATAAGGATATCTTCCAAATAAGCTTTCAGGCATCAAAATGCGATTCCGACATTCGGAAAGAAAAGGAGCCTCTGGCTTTAAAGAGCAAACTCACCTGGCATTTGCAATATCATACAATCTCACTGAATCATCCTCGTTGGCTGTGACCAAAAGATCATCCTTCCGGTGAAAATCAAGCGAATTTATTTTCCCAACCTGCGAGCAGGATAACAATCGGATCAAGCTCATACCAAACCTTTACAAGGAATTACCAAACCTTTACAAGGAAAAATTCGCACATCACTCGTCAACTCTCTTCAGAAACCACCACATGTCTTCAGAAGTTAGTTCATTGTGGCCACATTGCACGTCATTTTGGCGATGGAAAGTTTCTCACTTAGGCCGCGTTAAAGAACTCTTTTTTTTCGCTACCAACGCATCGTACGTGAAGGAAACACCAAAAAGACCGATTTGAAGAGCTTCAGAACACATATATTGGCGAACAAATCGAGGCGTCAATCCAAATGAGCTCATCGAAAAAAGAAAAGAATCATTAACATGACCCTTCACAACATCTAAGAATATCCAGCAGTCGACTTTTCCTCCGGACAACCGACTAACTCTGCACCGCTGATCCACGACAAAAAGAGGATAAACCACCAACACAAAAGGCGCTTGCAACTACAAACCATACTTCGACTGCAATTCGCTGTAATCTAGACCCTAAAACCGTCGAATCATTTCCAAACCCATATTAGGCACTCGCCACGCAACCACGCGCGCGCGCGCGCGCACACACACTCTCCTGAGGACAAAATCAGACGTTCGAGCCATTTTCAAATTCCCATTCGGCGGAAGGAATCGAGGAGAAAGCATCGAGACTCACGAAGTCGGAGAAAACAGCTCCGATCGACATGCTGCGGACCGTGTCGTCGTCAAGCGCTACGATCGAGGCCGTCGCCATCGCCGTCGATTGCCGTGCTTCTGCGCTGCTCCGTACGCTGCGTGCGCGTGCGCACTGGCCGGCTAGCGGAGGCGCGGCGACGGTGCCCCGGGAAGTTCCTCTGAGAGCTGAACTAGGGAGGCGACGACAACCTGGTGGCTTCGTACTGACCGTGTTAAGAAGCTGGGAGGCTATTTTATGCTCCTTCGTTTTGAAAAGCGGGTCGTTTTTGTGATTTGGTACAAGTTCTGGGGTTCCTTTTTGTAATTTGGGCCTTTTCAAGGGGCGGGCCCAGACACGTTTTTCTACGACAGGCCGTATGAGCCCAGAAGCAAAGTCTTACCTTACGTAGCCCACGCCCACGCAGTTGTCGAAAAGGGAAAATGACACAAACGATCTTCGAACTTTGATCCAATTTACAATATGATCTTTAGTACTCTCTGAACTTTAGTTCAGTGTGCAAGTAATCTCCGAACTTTTAATCTGTTCAATGATGTCGCTGAACTTTAACTCGATGTGCAATGTGGTTCATGAAATTTTTAATTTGTTGTATGCTCAGACTAAAATGTTTAATGTTGTCTCTGAATTTGAATTAATAAAAGGACAATATTGAACATTTTTTGTATAGTCCAGGGACCGAATTGAATAAGTACCACGAATCCGAGCACATCTGAGTAAATTAAAAATTTAGAAATCACATTACACATTAAGCTAAAATTAATATATCGCATTGAATAAATTGAAAGTTATTTTTAGAGATCACGTTACGTATCGGTCATAATAGGGTTCGTTTGTGCCATTTTCCATCCACCTCGCTCAAGAAGAAAAAACAGGAAAAAGAACTGAAATCATTTTCTTTTTTTCCTTGAAGAAACCCGAACGCGTCGTCTTCTTCATAAGCTCCTCCTCTTTACCTTGCCTAACACCACTCGCGAAAGCTCCCAAAAAAGGGGTACCCGACCCACCCCTTACCATAAAACCCCTCCCTTCGAAACCTCCAAATTCTTCCCCCCCCCCCTCTCCTGCGTGCGCAGGACTTCGAATCCGGAGTCGAAAGCGCGGCGAGGGCTCCCGATGAACACGTCGCAGTTCATGGACAAGCAGATCATGGATCTCGCGTCCCAAGGGTCGGCGCCCAGCAAGGACTTCATCGATCTCGCCGGCGACCACCACCACCAGCACCACCACTATCCCGAGGAGGAGGAGGAGCGGGACCACGCCGCCGGGAACGGCGGCGTGGACGGCGGCGACGACGGGGTGAAGAGGGAGGAGATCGTGCCGAGCTACGATTTCCAGCCGATTCGCCCCGTCGCCGTCTCCTCCAACTCGCCGGCGCTTGGGTTTGACGGCGGATCGGCTAGGGGGGCGTGGGGCTCCCTCGATTCCAAGGTCAGCGCGAACGCCGCGCCTGTCCGGGTAATGATCTGGTCTCCTGTGATGCTCGAATTCAGTTGTGCTTTGCTTGTGAATGTGATTCAGATAGGTTTTGTGCTGCGTGATTGAGTATATTGAGCATAGTTGAATGATTATGATGTTGTTGTTGCGCTAAGTGATTTGATATTGTTAACTAACTGGAGAGATGCTTGCGGTTCTTTAACCTTGGTGTTTGGACTGGTTGAACTTCTTACTGGTGTGCGAGTCTCTGATTATCATAGAGTTCGTGACCTTGGTGAGTAGAGGTTGCAGAAGTTTGCAGGCGCTAGACTCCCTTTTGAATTGAGTATGTTTGCGGGGTTCCTACTAGGAGTCCTAATTGCATGCTTGAGGGGCTTCCATGGTTTAGTCGTAGCGGTCACTTGACCAAATTAGGAAACTTACGGGCTACATAAGGGAAGTGATTGGATCTGATATAAGAAGAATTCTGATAAAACGTTTCAGGAGAGAAGGAAATATTCGAGTATTAATGTTAGTTGCAAACCACTGTGAAAGTCTATGTTGTTCGAATTTGCAAGGGGAGAGAGTTTGTCCTATATAGAGAGAATTTATACAATTCTCGTCTCTTGAGGATCTTAGTTAATTATGATTATGTTGGAGTCTCTTTGCACATTGGCTGTATGCATGGCTACAGGTTTCCTGTTGCTTTGTAAATCTTTAGTTAAGTTAAATATTTCCGAGGATTGTGTTTAGTACAGTAAGACAAAATGAAAAATTAAAATGGGGGGAGTATATGGGAGGAGTCTCTTGGGAAATGGTCATGGACTCTTGTATGAAGCTCAGAAGAAAAGACAGTAACAATGGCACGGATGCTTGTAGGGGAAAAAAGGAGAAAGAAGGTGTGATTACATTATCTGATCTGGCTTTCTCTGAATCGTGTTTGTATATTGTTGACGTGTCCAGCATGTATTGATTGACATTTCCACCATGAACAATTGAATAGCATGTTATGGTTGTGTTTAAGATTATTATTTAGAAGTTACTGGCTTATTTATGCAGAGGAACCCCATTTTTTTTTTTCCTCACAGAACTATAGTTCACTGGATTCCTTTGAACCTGCACAAATCATTGCTGAGAAGGATCAGCATGGCTTTGATGCATCAATGGTGTCTGAGATAGATCGAACAATGAAGAAGCATGCTGATAGCCTGCTGCATGCATTGGAAGGTGTTAGTGCACGATTGACTCAGCTGGACAGCAGAACTCGCAACCTCGAGGAGTCTGTTGATGACTTGAAGGTATCAGTAGGACACAATTATGGGACGACAGATGGGAAAATGAGACAGTTGGAGAATATTCTCAGAGATGTAAGTTTTCCATATTTGCTTCCTTGTCCTGCTTGGTCTGTGTAACACATTCTAGATTCAAATGGTAAATCTGCGAAGGACTTGGAAATTATGTTATGAGCGATGGCTTGATTGCGGGCAAAGTAGATGAGTTATTTTTGGTCTACTTAGTTTGAGGACATTCTAATTTCCTGGCTTATGGCCGTCTATTCTATGCAGGTGCAAGCAGGGGTACAGGTGTTAAAAGACAAACAAGAAATAATGGAGGCTCAGTTTCAGCTCACAAAACTGCAAGTATCCAAGGCAGATCAGCAACAGGATAATCAGAAGGCTTCACATGTGGATTCCCAACAGCCGGTGCCATCCATTCCTCAGCAATCTCTTCAGCAGACTTCTCCTGCTAGTTTTCAACAACCTTTTCCTGCTCTGCGCACCCCTAATGCTCCTCCACCACCACCTCCTCAACAAAATCTACCACCTCCAGTTCAGCTTCCAAATCAGTTTCCTCAGACACAGATTACTCCTGTTCCTCAACGTGATCCTTATTTCCCACCCCCGGTTCAAGCCCCAGAAGCTTCAAATCAGCAGTTCCAACTTCCTCCCACCCAGCGGCCACCTCCACCTCCACCTCAAGCAGGTCCGCCTCATCACCAATACCAAACAGTCCCTCTACCTCAGTTTTCGCAGCCACCACCTCCACCGCCACAGCACCCAAGCATGGCACCGGTAAATCCTCCTCAACCACCAGTACCCCACCATCTTGAAGAGACACCGTACATTCCATCTCAGACCTACCCATCAAGCCTCCATCAGCCCCCTGCTCAGCCACCTAGTGGGCCTCCTCCGCCCCAACAGTTTTATGGGGCTTCCCCACAGATGTATGAGCCACCACCCGGCAGGTCTAGTTCAGGATTTTCTGCGCCATACAGCCATCCATCTGGGCCTAGTGAGATGCAGTATGGTGGAGCTCCTCAGTATGGTAGTAGCTCCCCTATGAAATCTCAGCAACATTCGCAGAGTGGCGGAAGTGGTTATCCACAGCTTCAAACTGCTCGGGTACTTCCTCATGCTCTACCCACCGCATCGGCAGTTAGTGGCAACTCAGGTTCGAGTGGAACTGGAAACAGGGTTCCTATAGATGATGTGGTTGACAAAGTGACGAGCATGGGTTTCTCAAGAGACCAGGTTAGGGCTACTGTTCGGAGGTTGACGGAGAATGGACAGCCCGTGGATTTGAACATAGTGCTAGACAAGTTAATGAATGATTCAGATGTCCAGCCCCCTAGAGGATGGTTCGGTCGATAACGTGGTACTGCAATGCTCATCTCTATACAGTTGACAGTTTCATCGTGACGTGGTGACTTCACTGAAGGGAGCCATTTTCTTGGAGATCAGGTTTCTTCGCGCAGTGAATGTTCTGTATCTTTGTTAATTCTCCCTTCTCCCTTTACTTTTCTGTCGTGCTCGTGAGTGACGGCTCTATTTGGTATTGTTATTCTTGCTTGCCTAGCTCTATCTATGACCTTGTTTCCATCTCTTTTGTGCATACTTATTGTAATTCAAATTGTCTCCATTGCTTTATCTGTTCACACTTTTCATACCCGCTCTTGTAAAGCTGTATTGCTTAGCTTTCAAATATGCCGATTCTTGACACGCTCAAATGACTGCTTAACACTTGAGTATCCTTTCCCACACACATGCCAGTTTGGGTTGATTTCTTGAGTAGAACTCTGTGGGAATGGCATATAGGCCGGTTGGCTTGGATGAATTAAATGCTTTTTCCTTAGGGAAATATACGTCCGAGGATGGTTCTTCTATTGATACGATGATTTGAAGCCAGAAGCCATGTTGCTGTCTGGGCATTTCTTGGTCAGGCGCATGGCAATTCTATCGCTGCAGTGTGATAATTTCGGCGACTCTGTTCTGCAATGCGGGTAAATTACGTAGGTTACCCTGTAGCAACCTCCAAAACCAACCTCGTCAACCATTGGGTCCGGGACGACTTCTGTGGACTCCCTAAAATCTACTGTTGAGCAGCATTTTTTCTTCATCTCCGACGTTTGAATTGTTCAGGAAAATGAGAACGGAATATAAGTAAATGGAAAATTTATGATTAAATTCGACTTTTTCTTTTAGAAATAAAAATCAGTTTTCAAGGTATAACCAGACTCCGCCACTCGGGCTCGGGTCCCTCGAGGCCTAGTCAGTGACCGACCTTGACGCACGGGTCTCCCAGGGTCGAGCGAGCTTGAGTACCGAGACCTCCCACCCATGCTCAAGTTTGTAGCAGCCGTGCTTCAGATCCAAGTGTACGTCCCACGGTCCCCAGCAGCCGAGCTCTTATTTGCAAATTACAAACAAGCATGGGATTGAATTCATTTTCCTTGAAAATAAATTCTTTTGAAAATATTTTCATTTTTCGTATAGCAAATGGAGTTATGAGATGGATCCAAATTCGGGGGTGCCTGTGACCGATTGAAACAGAGAAAAAGCATGGCAAACGTTATATCATAATGTTCACTCATCACAAACAGAACTCTAGTGATTGTATGAAGGATAATGCTACGCCCTTGGGTGGAAATTGAAGGATGAAAACTTTGATGGAAATTGGAATAAACTTCAAACTTTTTGTGAGAACGAGAGTAAAGAAGGTTCAGAGTATGTGACATATTCTCCCCAAAAAAGAAAAGACTTAGAAATCACTGGACTCAAAGGAAACTGCTGTCGTCTGACATTATATTTAGTAAAACTTAAGTGGGCTTACATTGTTCCCCATAGCCATCATACTCGTCAACAAAGTAATAAGGATAAAGGCGGTCACATTACATCTCTAGAACAAGTACTCAACCTTGGACAGTTTTCCAGAACCAGTCCATGGAACTTGCACAATGACCATGCGCTCCTCGTACTCGAAAGGGACGTCGCGCCCATCAATTTTGCAGTCTCTTGGTTCGATGGAGGCGTAGACCCTCATTTCCCCTGCTCCTCTCACCCCGACTTCGACCGAATCGCCCTTAAAGGACAAGGACTGAATAGCTCCGCCGGTGTTGAGCATGTTGGCCAGGCCGATGGCAGCAAACTGCACTGATTTCCCGGTCAAGACTGCGACCGGAGAAACGGTGATGAGCTCGAAGTGGAATGGCTCCAGTGAGATTTCTCTGTCTTCAGAGGGCTTTGAGAGGGACAGCTTCTTGGACTTGAACATGTACATGGCAAATCCTTGTGCTCCTTCAATGGGTATAGGGTTCTTGCCACTGTTCCATTCAATGTCCTTGGGGTTGGTCTTGGAGGTCACCATTTGTGAGAACTGGGAGAAGCATTGGTTTTGTCTAGATTCGCGACTCCATCCTCCTCCTTGGCAGTTGAATGCTCCGACAACCCCTGTATACTGTTGGAAGCAAAGCCGAACAAAGCATTATGTGAGATCACCGCGAAGTTTTTTCAAAAGAAACCGAGTCGATAGTTTAGGCATACTTGGAATTGTTAGGAATTGTCCAACATTTTAGAAGCTAAAGCTTGTTAAACCATAATAGTCAACTGATGATCATCGCAATCTTACTTTGTTAAGGTTCCATATTTTGAGCATGGTCTTGCCATCATGAAGAGGATCTTCAAAGAGGCAATCCCGAGTCGGGAGGGCATAATATTCACATCTCAGGATGGATCCATCAGGCAACACGAGGGTCTTGAGCAGCTTGAAGTCGTGCTTCCCAACTGAGTCGCTCACATAGATAGGGCCACCGGAGATGGCTCGAGAAGCAGCATGGAACTCGGCGCACGGGTGCGTCGACTGGAACATGTCCCAATCCGGGTGGATGAAGTTGCCCATCCACAGGCTGTTGTACGCGCAATGCACCATGTGACACCCTTGGAGCCAAAACGTGCCTTTCGGATCGCCTGACGGATCGGTGCACCAAAAATCATCACCTATATTGAACATCAGCAACAGTGAATTGAAGCAATGGCCATTGTAAAAAACAAAATCAACATAATTGGAATAGGAGACCGATGTGCGGCTCTCGACATACCAACACGTCCAAGGGTAATAGCTTCCGTGCCAAGGAACATGAAATCGTTGCAGTGTTCCATGCTAGCAATCACACCATTTCCCTTGAAATGTTTATTGACAGAAGCTGTCAATGCTTTGTAGTAGGCCTTGGCAAGCTCTACTCTCCCCCCATAATCTTCACACAGCATTTCCAGCAACTGATACAGGCACATCGTCGCGTGAAAAACAATAATAGAGGATCCATTAATAACTCAAGGAAACAATTCCAAAGAGAAGTTGTATAGAGAAATAATACTCACGTGAATGACGTCCACCTTGACACCATCAATGCCCACGGACTCCAAGTGCGAGTGCAGCCCCTCGTACATCTGATCCGCGTGCTCCGGCGGGACCATCCCCACCCCGGTGTTCACGATCTTATCCACGGCCAGATCCTCCATCGTTATCTCGAGCCCGGGCGACAGCTTGGGCTTGATCACGGTGGACTCCGGCAGGCCCGGCACCTCGGGCCTGAGCCCGCCCCAATACCCGCAGAGCGCATGCCACACGTAAACATATTCCACAGACCCGAACTCCTCCTTAAGGTCCTTAATGAAGGCCCCCATTCCCTTGGGTCCGCCGCGCCTCCCTCTCGGGCTTACGTAGTCCCTGAACTTGTAGTTCTCTTGGAATTTCAACAGCCTGCAGGGCATCTGCTCGCCGGCCACGGTCTGGTTCATGCCTTCCTTGGTGATTGGGTCTGCGTCGTGGCCGATGGACTGCCACCCATCGTCGATCAGGACGAGCCCGGGCGGGCACCCGCCCTCGACAAGTCTCGCGACCCCATCCCATATTCCCTGAGGGTGCACGGTGAGGTAGAACGCATCCCACGTGCACCACCCGAACTTGTCCACTATGCCCGGAGGGGTCTTCTCCTCGAGGAGCTTGAAGGTGCCCAGGTGAGCCCGGGCCACCTTGATGGCGTCCTTGACCAGGGTGAACGGGTCCTCGCCTGCCTGCATGTAGAGGACGGCCTGGAACTTGCTCGCGGCGACTTTGGTCGAGCCGCTCTCGATGCAAACGTCAATGTAATCGTCGTCACCTAACGAGGAAAAATCATTAGATTACGTATAATTCGGATTTTAGGGAGAGAATCCATATACGGAAGTACCAATCTTTGAGTGGACCGTAGCATGATATACTATTCACATTTTTTAGATTGATTACCAGCACTATTTCCACAATAAGTCCATATGAACTCTACGAAGTGTCCATATCGATTTGCAATTCTTGGGTTGATTTTGACTTTTTAAAATCACTTACCTAATTAATGACCCTGTTAATGCGTACTAACCATTCTTGACGATTTCCTTTTGCGCAACACAATATATAGGGGACTTACTACTTAGCTGCTAAATACGTAGGTGGTGAACAACAAATGTTTTCGAGTTCATGCCTCCTCTGCTTAAAGTCAACATGTGTAAGCTAGGCTGTTTCATGCAATATAATAAAGAACCGGTTCTGGACTATACTTAATAAAGTACTTGTCGCCCTCGCTGATGGTCTTTTACTCAGACAGCATATGGGGTTCTTAGAACAAGTTAACGTGGTATCACTGTAAGTCTGTACGATAAGTGGCTCTATAGTTTTCGGGTCTATATAGTTCTTAGTCGCTACAAATCCACACAAAGTGTATAGAGAAACAATTGTTTTACCAGGTTGAAGAGAAGCACGAAAAGGGCCCTCCAGAAGCGGAAGCAGCAGCACATACGGGCGACCTGAACCCGACCTCTCGAGCATCACCAGCTGCGTCTCGCTCTCGAGGTCTCGGCCGTTGGATCCGACCCAGTGAGTCGTCCACCACACCTTGAACCGGAATATGCTCATGAACCGGATGTCCCTCAGCCTCCCCACTGGCGCCACGTGCCGGCTCTCGGCCTCGACGGCGTCGAAACCCACGAAGCACCCCAGGGAAGCAGCTGCCGCCAACTTGCCGCCATAGGGCGAAGGAGTGGTGATGACGTTGCCGGGGACGCCAGAGAGGAACGGGTGGCCGTTGGCCGAGAAGGTCCGACCCTGGCTGTCCAATGTGATCACGTGCTGCGTGGAGCCATTCTCGGACATGGGGGAGAGATCGGATGCGGCCTTGGTTGGAGCCATGAATGGAAGCTTTCTCTTGACGAGGAGGAAGAAGAAGAAAACGTGGAAGATGAATGTAGTGCAGGTTTGGTAAGAGCAGCACAAGATTTGGGGTTTATATAGAGTGAGAGAATGATTATGTCATATTTGGTGATAAAAATGGAAATGTGGGATCGGTCCCAATATGCTTGATTCCGTCAGAGATAATTATGGATTCTCAAGCACTTCTCGAACAGATTCTTTGAAGATTGTGGCCCTTTTTTCACTCTTTTTAAATATTTTTTTGCTAAAATAAACCCTTTTAAAATTGATCAACCAAATTAGCCTTCAAACTTTGATTAGGAGGTAAGTGATAGAGTCTTATTTCAATAGTCTCTGATGTCTTATGGGCAAGCTTCTTGTGTGTGAAGTGACTGAATTTGCTCATAACATAGAGTGAAAGTTTAACTTTATTCTTATTTGATTTCGCCTCTGTCCTCCTCTAAGCCCTCGCCTGCCTTTTCAAATCCTCCGTTAACCTTAACCCGGCCTCTCTCTCGTCCTCGACTTGCCCCAGGAGCTATTCGGCACGAATGTGGGAGCGGCGGAGGCTAGGGCTCGATGCCGGTTAAGATTGCTAATGCCACTGCCACCATTGAACAGTGGATGCGTTTTTGAGAATGGTTTGCCAGTACCAGGACTTCCCTAGCCTTTTGCTATTGTTTCATATTAAATTTTGTATTACTGTTTCTGTTACTCTACTTTTTCTCTATCTTATCTCACATTATAGCTGCCGAATTTTTTTCCTTTTCTTTTCGCACCAGACTAAAACCTTCTCCTTAATGAAAATCTAGGGTAAAGTTTCATTTTCAGTTACAAGATCATTTCTTTTTGTGTGTGTGTGTGTGTTGAAGGATTAGAAGTGGGTATAGATCTCTTTCCCCTTGCTTTGTCTGTAGCTAAACATTGATTTATCTTTTGGCTAGGTTTAACTGTTAGCTCTTAGCTTTTGCAAGGAGGTAATGGAGGTGAGAAATCTGCTAATCCGTGGCTCCATGTTCTCCATTTTTTTAGTGGCCATCCGCCCGTGAACTCTTTTGTGCATCTTTGGCCGTAAACATTGAATCAAAGCTAGTGTTTGAGAGTAATTCGATCGGTTCACTTAAAAAAAAAAGTGTGTTTTTATTCAGAAAGAGTATGAAAATCGCACCGCCCATTTGCAAAAGAGAATAAGATTCTTTTGGAGGGGGGGATTTTGTGTGTATGCTTTGAAGGAGTTTGGAAGTTCTTTCCTGTCACGTATCTACAGGCAACTTTTGGGGCATTGCATGCATATGGAATCAAACAATAGGAGAGCTTAAGAGTTGCGGGGTTGATTTGGTTTGCAGTTTCAGAAAAATGAGATCTAATGGAATTAGTCTGGCACACCTGTGTAGGGAAGATACCAAGCATTACGCACTCGAACGACGTAAATATGCTGGAAATCAAAGCACTTGCACCAAATGATGTCGGCAATATCAGCACATGGTCATGTAAGGATACCGATATGTCTCCCAACGCAGCGCTAAAACTATTTTAGCAGATGTAAACATCACTGACTGTAAGCGAGCATTCAATAGTATCGCTCAATATGTTCAATTGGCAATCGATCTTAGGATTATGGGATGATAAAGGCTGATGAAGGCATGCCTGCTTAGCAGTGAGCTAGATTGGAGTCCGCCATGGTTCCCATCTTTCGCCTACTGACTTCGAATTTCGGGGATAAATTCTTACAATGATCAACCACAGTGACCGAGCTTTTAGACCATGTTTCCATCTGTCAACTTGAATAGCTGAAGCTTAGAAATTACAATGCACATATTCCCCGTCCCCTTCACTGCTGGTGAAGGGGACCGGGTATCAACTGCGCAACTGCATGAAGGAAACAACAATGGTGGATGATACACGTGCCTTTATGACAGGGCCGCGTTCTACAGGGCTTTAGGGTTTTCTTCAACAGTAGAAAAAAGAAAAGGAAAGAAGACGAACATTTGATCATGTAACTTGCTAAAAAGCATAGCCCCCCTTTATGTTCCTTGGCACCAAATTTCATGCTACGCTCCAAATTCTTGTGAATCTCTCCCTCCCTCCATGGAGTTCCATTAAAAAAGGCCTCCTTTTTTAGCTTCGAAAGGCTCCTTTACCTACCATTGCGAGGCTTGAATAATATTTCAGATGTGCCGTTTTAGTTTCGTGAACGCAAAGGAAACGAATACGACGTACTCGTTCCGACAACAGGAACCCTTGCGAATGTCTCGTGGGGCGGGAGATCTCGGATTTCGATTTGGGTATGCGGATTCAAAGATTCGAAACCTCATGTCTTTATAACTTTGTTGAGTGAATGGAAATAAATCCATGTGATGCATGATAGGCCATTGTAGATAGCAACCCATCAAATTGGATCATACATGGTGAATGCATGAAGAGTCTTTGGTCATGCATGTATAAGAATGAGCAACTTTTCGAAGGGGGTATGAATGAGTTGTGCTGTGCTTCGCCCCTTTGTCCATCTTTTTGAGATTGGACCTCCCTAGTTTTGCGATTCCCATCTTGTGCCAAGTGCCAACATTGATGAAGTTTCTTTTGCTGCTGCTATTCGCTCTTTCCTTTTTCCCTTCCCTTTGATTTTCCATGTACGATATGAAAGTTCATGCTTCTTGAAGGTCGAACCTCCCACGTCTCTCCACTAATTAGTTAGACTTTTCCTCGCACCTTTCATCGTGTGAGCGCAAAAGAGGAGGAGAGAAAATATGTATGTGTGTATATATATCTTAACATAGTTATAGATGAAATGATTGACATGTAAGATTTACTGGGAGTCGCGTTTTTTTAGAACGCGAATAACTTGATCTTGCCAAATGAATTTAGGGTACTTTCATTTCACTTATAACTTAATTCACGACAAAAGCAAAATATTTCAAAATTGATAATTTCATTTGTTGGTGATTTAGGGAAAGTGATTTCCATTTTGTCAGAAGGGGAAGTCGTTTCTCCCCAATTTAAGCTTGCTTTTTTTCAAGTCCGTGGAAAACATTTTTCGCACCATCGTCCAAACACCAGAAAATTGGAAAATAATTTTTCGGAAATCGTTTTCTTTCAAACAAACGGACCCCAAGTAGATAGTAGTGGCTCATCTAAATCACAGTGCTAATTGGTACGATGCACTGTTCTCTCAGTAGGACTTGACGCTCTACTCTTGAGGTAGCTGTAAATTTAATCTTGGAATTTAAAGTAAAACTTCAACATTTTCATGTGTATATGCTTATATATAGTTGAGAACTCATGGACACGTTTAATTCATCTCGAGTTGGAAAGGATCGATCGTGGCATGGTCCCATCACATAAAGCACCTCGAGAATTCAATGAGAGGAATAATATGATTCAAAAGAAGATAATATTATTCAGATTCAAAGCTAGCGGAACCCTTTGGATTGGTGGTGGGGCTTTTGTTCTGGTGTAGCCACACAGTTCATGCCAATTGCATCCACTTTCCCTGTTGGTGTCCCATTGTTCATGCCCATTTGAAATGCTATCATCGGTACCACAAGCAGGAAGAAGCCGCTTTCATTCATTCATTCATTCATTTTTATCTATTTTTCGACTCTATAATGATCTTGATGAGAGTAATTCACCACAAGATAGCATATTCTAGCTCTCAAATCGAACTTCATAGTCTCCAAAGGGGGAGGGAGGTAGAGAGGGCGTGATAGGTGGTGCGAGCCGATGCTAGTGCACTCGAATGCTAGATGGCTGGTAAGAAATGCCGAGATTCTACAACTCGACAGTAAGTAATACTCAATGACAAGAAGTTCTTGATAGTTCCATTTGCCGAAACCTCAAAATATGGAAGTGTGAAAGTCCAAAGGCACAAAAGTACCCCGAACGACAGACAAAATGTGTATTCATGCTGATAAGGCTAAGACGGTCAGCAGGACACAAGTCGGTGTCGGGTTATCGGGGGGTGTCCTAGGAAACGGGACGACACCAAGTCTACCGAGAAGGCTAGGTGGTAGGCCTAAAAAAAGGTTCCTGACGAGCCTCGCTCCACTCGAAAAGCCAAAACTCGTTAAGACATTTCAATTGGGGCAGAGATGATCCATGATGTTGTCACTAATCTCCAATCGACGAGGTAAAGATCGGACTCTTCGTACGCACGAATTTCGACGAACGACGTGTTAATCTAAAACACTTCAAAAGATCCAAATAAGCACAGTAGTGAATATCGTCTTGCTTGATAGCAAACTCTACAATTTGTGATATTATTTATTTATTTAGTTTGGTAGGACGTGATTGATGAGTTAATCGGGTCTGGCCCACTGAAAATAGTTAGACGGGGCTTCAAGTCTTTGCATAGGTAGGAGACACGCTGCAGCGATCTTATCGGCCGACGCCAAATCTTTGAGTTGGACGTCTAATTTGGTCTGGGCAATCAAGAATCTACGGTCACGTGTCGTTGGCGGTGCCTACGTGCCCTTCATCCTGTCCGTTGGTTGCTCTGAAATCAGTAACGGTTGTTGGCCTTCTGGGATGGGGGCAGCGACATTACCCACGTAACGTGGTTTTATGGGAAGGAAAGGAGACAAATCACAAGGGACGTTTAATATGGTCCGGACCAACTTCAAATTTAATAGAGATTTATAGGGTTCGAGTCCTGCCGTGTCGAAATGGACATTTAAGATCTAAAGTCGGGTATGACTGTTGAATTGGAGATCTTTCGGTGGATGCAGCGACAGATACGCTTTAATTAGCAAGATTGCCTCGAGTCTCGATCATCTATCTTGTCCGCGGCTTGCGTAGTCTTGTCCCGTTCGTTCAATCAAGTCAACAACACAGATGTCGACCGCCTAAGTTTCATGTAGTCCCATCAAGATAAGTGTTTCCTCGACAGTGATCACTGCGTATGATTTAGACACGAAGGGAAAGGGATTAATATAGTCATGTCACGGTTAATCAATGAGTTCAAGTGCGACATGATCTGGGATGTCAATCCTATTTCATGCTGGATTGGCGCAATACATTTGGCTGACATCCACCTCCTCCGGCTTTGCATCTAGAGAAGAGGAGCTTTGGGAGATATATTCACTTCATTGGGATCGCGTAAAGTCTCGGTCATATATTACATCTCCGGATAATGCTTGCTTAGACATGTTCGGTAAGTTCAATCGAGTGTTGCTGATCATGTAAATTTCACGTGATCTCATTTCATCGAAAGCGATAAATATTTATTATATATGTGAAGCAAAGGGAGCTAATAAAAGCATCTCACATGTAATAAATAAGTTCAAATGCGGGATGATTTAGATATGTCGATCCAATTTTGTGTAGAATTGGCGAGTTATGATTGGATTTAATCAAGTTACCATAGTAGATCGAAGTGGATGATCTGGGTTTGTAGATCCCAATCTCGATTTCAAATTAGAATCACAATTTGATCAACTGAACTAAATCACATCTTTGGTTTATATTGGCCATATCAAGTCTAATTCCTTTTTCAGTGAATTGTCCAAGTTTTCGACAGTCGCGGAAGTTTCAGTGGTCTACCTTCATTTTACCGTTTGAAGCCTTGCTCAATGCACGTGGACGGATGTGGATCATACGTGTGTATGGGATGAGTAGAGCCGGAGGATCAGACCACCACCACGTCGTCCAAAAGATTAAAAAAAAAAGGGAAAATTCTATTTTGGTACCCAAAGTGAGGTCAAATTCTCAATTTGGTACCCAAAGTGGACAAAGTGTCAAATAAGGGCCTGAAGTGCTTAGGGCCCGTTTGGTTCAACTTTGAAAATGCTACTTGGGGGAATGCAAATACCTTTGGGTGAAAGCCCATTGGGGAAATGCAAATGGTGTTTGGTAAAAATATTTTGTAAAGCTACTTTGGCCAAAATATAGTGTTTGGTGAATTATTTTTGCAAATGGACTTTGGGAATAAAAAACCTAACTTACCCTTCGCCGGAGTCGGCGCCGGCGGCCGTCGCCTGAGGTCGGGCAACCGCCGGCGGGCCAGATTTGGGGTCGGCGGCCGTTGCCCGAGGCCGGGTGACCCTTGGCGAGGGTCGCGGGACCCAAGCGGCCGCCTGGGTCCCGTGACCCTTGCCGAGGGTCGCCTAGCCTCGGCCGACGGCTGCCGGCCTCTTGCCGGCCCGATCCGGTGTCGGCCACCTCGCCGGCCTCCCTCGCCGGCCACCTCACGAAGAAGAAGAAGAACAGTACACACGAAAGGCAAAACCGGAATAAGCCAAAATAACTAAAGGTAGTTTGGGGATAAAAATTTTGGGTTCAGCATTCCAAATGCTAGCATTTGCCAAATGCTAGCATTTGCCAAATGCTAGCATTTGCCAAATGCTAGCATTTGCCAAATGCTAGCATTTGCCAAATGCTGAACCAAACGGTTCAACATTTGGCCAAGGGGCTTTCGAGGCCGAAAGCCCCTTCCAAATGCTGAACCGCCTCGAAAGCCCCTTCCAAATGCTGAACCAAACGAGCCCTTAGTCAGTCTCAAATAAGGGTTCGAAGTGCCCAAAAAGTCTCAAATAAAGTGCGGTTCTCGGCCAAAATGTCCTGGCGGCTAAAAACGTACTTTTTAAGACCTAGGAACAGTACTTTTATTATTATTTTTACATTTTTTTCTTTCTTTTTTCTGTTTTTTTCTTTTCCTTTTCCTTTTCTTTTTTTTTTTCTCTTCCCTCCGCCGGCCTCAGGCGGAGGCTGCCCTCGTCGGCGTCGGGCGAGGCCCGCCCCCGCTTGGGCGGGCGACGGTCGCCCTCGCCGGATCAGCGAGGGCCACCTCACCCGCCCGGCCCAGGCGGGGCGCCGTCGCGCCGACAGCCGGCGAGGGCGACCCTCGCCTGGGTCGCCGTCGCTCGACGCCGGCGAGGGTGACCCTCGCCACGGGTCTCCCTTCTTTGGCGTCGGGTGACCCCCGCTGAGGCCGGCGCGGCGAGGGTCGCCCTCTGCGGCGTCGGCCGAGGCGCCCTCTCCCGCCCGGCCAGGGACGCCGGACGCCGCGAGGGCGACCCTCGCCACTGGGTCGCCCTCGCGGCGTCGGGCGAGGCCCGTCCCCACCTGGCCTGGGCGCGCGAGGGTCGCCCTCGCCCGACCTCAACGAGGGCGACCCTCACCCGCCCAGGTGGGCGGCCCTCGCCCGACGCCGGCGAGGGCAGCCTTTGCTTGAGGCCGGCGGAGGGAAGAGAAAAAAAAAAGAAAAGGAAAAGAAAAAAACAGAAAAAAGAAAAAAGAAAGAAAAAAATGTAAAAAAAATAAATAAAATCTTGTTCCGATCTTGAGAAACGACGTTTTGCCGCCGGCGGACATTTTGGCTGCCCGGAGACCCAGACCCTTAGTTGAGACTTTTTGGGCACTTCGGACCCTTATTTGAGACTGACTAAGCACTTCAGGCCCTTATTCAACACTTTGTCCACTTTGGGTACCAAATTAAGAATTTGACCCCACTTTGAGTATCAAAATGGAATTTTCCCAAAAAAAATATCAAGGGGAAAATAAAACTATATTTGAATATATAATGGGCTGGGCCCAACCCAAGGGCCCAAATATTTGGGCCCAATATCTGCATTGACCAACACTTCGAGTGCTAGATTTTCAGCCCAGACTGATGACCAACTACGAGAGAGAAGGAGAGAAAGAGAGAGGAACATTGAAACCAGGCGAGGGTGGATGATTCCGAACTCTTCGAGCTCCCGCTGAAGTTTTCTCGCTGCTTGGCACAATCACTTGGTGAGCTCGATGGTCGATTTTATCTATCTGGGTCCGTTGATTTTTAGCAGATTTGCTTAGGCGTTCCTCGTCAATCAGTCAACTGTTCCCTATCCTTTTTGTTGGGTTTTTTCGCCATCTTTATGGTTCATTTTCGAGCATAGACGATGAATGCGTGCACAGGCTGGACGTGTAATGGAATGTCGCGGCATCTTTGTTCTTTCGTAGGACATTCGAAGAGATGGGCATTCTTGAAAGGCAGGAATTAGTTGGGCATGTCAGCACTGAGGCAGATGAGAATTGAAAGTGCGAAGCTTGAAACATTAGGCATTGTCATCGCAAGTTTAGCTTCGTATTTTTTGCGCATATGTCGTCTAATTGTGTTCTTAGAAGCGGCGCGACCATGCCGATCATGTCGCCCTCCGGCCCATCTTTCGCTCAAGCTAAAAGGTGAAGAGTCGTGTTGAATGTCGTTTGAGTACTTCTGTTTATCTCTCTCTTCCCGTGGCTCTGATGTTTTGAGAAAACAATTTAGCTATCCAGTGGGCGTAAAGGGAATGAGTACCGGAGCTGCAGTCTCGAGAACTTTAAGATTACACGGAGGTCCGTTTAGAAGTAGATATGATTTGATAAGTTCATGCCTGAAGGCTGAAAATGGAGGATTTGGACTGGAACCTTTCAGGATTGGTGAAAAAGATGGTCTCATCATTGTCGACCACGGGTCTAGGCGTAGAGAATCCAATCTCATGCTCAGTGAGTGAAAATTTTGGATTCTGTCTTGCTTTGAAATTCTTAATTGGGCCTGTTAGTTTCTCTGCTTATCTATGATAATGTCACAACAGTGTGTTATCTGCATTTCCAGATGAGTTCGTCGCCATGTTTCGAGATAAAACTGGGTACCCAATTGTGGAGCCTGCTCACATGGTAAAACTTTCTTTTCTGACTTTAGTTACTCAGTACATGTAGTAAATTCTGCTAGCTGTTGACAACTTTTCGTTCTTTGCAATAGAACTGAAGAGTTATTAGATTATCGATTTGCTGTAAGTGGATTTAGAAGCAAAATGTTGCTCCGCCTCTTCACGAGCTGGATAGTTCTTTCTGTGGATAAAGATAAAACATTTTTACATTCGTGGGTGGTCAGTTTTTTACTTGGAACTTTGGTTCTCTAATAAATTGTATCTGTGAACGGTGAAAAGATCTATCTAGGTTAATAACGTGATTGTCCTGGCGGTCATCTCTTTTGACTTATTATTTGTAGATGATTGACTTGTATTTGCTTAAGTTTTGCTTTTTTGCCTGTGTTTACTTCGTTGTCTTCACCTGTTGCAGTTTTCTTTTCATGAAAACATGTTCCTATAACATGATGTTCATTATTGACTGCTTGAATTTTTGCTACTTTTGATTCATTTCTTCACGTGCCTTATCCGTACTAAGTAAAGAGGTCTGCCGATATGCATTAGGCAAAAAGTCCTGGTTCTGGATCTCTTAGATGAATGAATGTAGTCTTTAACAATTTCAGGCTTCAAAATAACTCAGTTTGGTTATTTTGTCTTCAATTTGTCTGATCCATTGGGAAAGGCATGTAAGATTTTAGTTCTACTGCTTGTATTAGCAAAGCTTCCATTGATGTCCTTAGGTTTCTGATGTGAACCCATGCATGAGAAACTGCGTTCATTAGTTCATTCCATTCTTTTAATCAGGAGCTGGCAGAACCATCAATAAAGGATGCATTCTGTTCATGTGTTCTCCAAGGGGTTACTCGGGTAATTGTCAGCCCATTCTTTCTCTTTCCTGGGAGACATTGGCACAAGGTAGTTCAACTTTCTATTTTATTTTATTTAAGCTATGTTTATGGCTTCTCTGTTGCGCGTGGAAGACTTACAGAAGTGATATATATGGTGTTATTTCCAGGATATTCCTTCTCTGACAGCTGAAGCTGCAAAGGAGCACCCTGGCGTCTCTTATATTATAACTGCACCTCTCGGCTTGCATGAGCTACTTGTGGTATGATCAATATTCCTCTCTTTCCTCATCCTCATTGCTGAAAGGGTCTGAAGATATGCGAAAAGGTTAGGAAGAGTTGCATTTGTGTATAAAAAGCAGCTGAAAGATACAGCTTATTGTTCCTATCAAGCTCAGTTGCCACCCATTCGAAATGGATATTTTCCTTGGAAAATCTTTAAGGTTACCATAAGGAAGAAGTTCGACAGAAAACAATTGCCAATAATTCTGCAATATAAGCAACTTTGTTTCGTTTCTTGTGCAATTTCCTTAGTCATTGTAAAGTAAGCTCATTGATGAAAGTAACTGATATCAAAACAATCTGAGCATGGTGCAGTAAAAGCTTTATATTGAATCTTCAAGGTTGAAAATTTAGTTGTTCTTTGATCGTTTGAAATAGTTAAAATCTTCTATCGTGCATGTGGCTGTCTTGCTGTTCTGTAGGACGTCGTTAATGACAGGATCAAACACTGCCTGAGCCATGTAGAAGGAGATGCAGATGAGTGTGAAGTTTGTGCAGGTACAGGCAAATGCAGAATCTATTAATTTGATGGTGCAACATTTTCCCTTCACTGGAAATAGAATTGAAAAAATCTGAGGGAAATGTTGGAAAATTGCTGCTCAGCGTGATTGTCCTCTGAGTTCGATCCAAGTGCCAGTGATATTATGTGGAAATCACGTGGTTCTCAGAATCAATTGGGTTAAGGCCATAAAGCAACGATTATTCCGGAATTTTCTGGGAGTACATGTTCCAGCATGTGTACTTTACTGCATGATCGTCTCTCGTCTCTCGTCTCTGGCCTCAATAGGGAGTTGTAATTCAAACTTGTAGAATGTGTTGTTCATCAATTTGACTAGCTCAGGTGTAATCATTGCAACAGAGCTAGATGCAATTACTTCTGCTATTTATGTAGACGAGAGTATCTGATGTCATGGGTTTTCTCCATTGTAAGAAAAAATTTTGTGATTACTGTGTGCCACCTTTGCACATCATGTATTTATGCCGTCAAACTTAGTCTGTCACTCAGAATCTTCAGGTTGTGTCTCTCCATCAACAAGCAATAAAATTGCTACAAAGGTCAGATAAAAGTGAGAAAGCAGCACAACTCACTGTTTATGACAGTTTGATGCATGATGCATGGTTGACAACTACGAGATGTGATTTCATTTTGATTGTAATGCTATTACAAGTCACGAAGCAATGTACAGATACGAACTGGAGAAGCCTCTCCTTGCAATAGAATGCTTGCATTGTAGCTGGTACTTTATCACTTATGGTGTTTCTTTTGGCCAAATTTCTCACCTATTGTATTGCTTGGCACTTTTTTGAGTTTCCTAAAGAGACCTCTATCGAATCCTTGATCGGCTTATTCACTTCTTATTCCACGTGTTTAAAGCTGAAATGTTCGACGAGTTTCCAGAATCCCGAGAACTTCTCCATTTTAATCTTCATACTGGCATCGGCCCGTGCCTTAGCTTGAGCAGGTGTTTCTTCCTCAGTTGCTGCTGTGGCTGTGAAAGAAAAAGAGTACAGTTATTTTATCAGAAGTTCAGATGATTGTTCTTCTGTGGTGTGGCGAAGAGGGTTGTTGGCAAAATTACCAGTCGCAGGTTGTTCTTTGAGTTGCTTGGAGAGGGTCTTAGCTGCCATGAAAACGTTTGAAGGTCTTTCCCAGCCGCCTCCAAACACGCCATAACCGTCCTTGGGCTGAGGTTGTGTCAGAAACTCGAGCAGTCCCAGCTCTTCCTTCTCCACCCAGTATATGCAGTTCACCGGGCATGACTCCACCGATACCTGCCGAATGATTATTTCATAGAATCCGCAGCATAGCATCAAATAGAGAAAAACGGAACGATGATAGGACTGCTTGTATACAGCAAAATAGGCCTCCCAACTTCTACATCTTTGTCCATCAAATTATCACTGGCGGTTGAGCGATTCTTGATTGATCTCACCATTAACACAAGCAGACGAAGTTTATTTGTGAGGAGGAAAAAAGAATCACTTACCTCCAGCTTTTGCTCATCATCCCCGTACTGGACTCTCACTCTAGCGCATCCGAGTTCTTCGTCCATGACAAACGTCTTGCTTGCATGATGCACACATTCTCTGCATCCTGAAACCGTCGAACTACCAATTGAAACAGACACCTCGAATCAACTGCGAATTTGGAAAAGAAAATTTACAGGAGTGAGTGAAGAAATGACCTATGCATGCATTTGCATCTACAAACAGAGCATGTGATCTAAGAGGCCCTTTCCATGAGCTATAACCTATATCAGAACAGTCTCTTCTGAATCTTGTCCTCGCTTGACCGGTGATGGCATCATAGTCTCTCCTCAGATCATCTCTCATCAGCACCCTATAAGCCTCATTCAGCAACAGGGTATACTCATGACCCTAAAAGCAAAAACGCCAACAGCCCTTCAAGTCAAATTATCAATTTAGCTTAAAAGAAGAAGAAACTTTTGCAAGATCTTGAGGCCATGTTGAAAATAAAGTGAATCCGCGTGACCTCTTGGCCCGCAACATCAGGGTGATGCTTCTTTTGCAACTTCCTGTAAGCCTCCCTGATTTCTCGCGAGCCTGAATCCGGTGAAACCCCGAGTACCTCGTAATAGTTCTTCTCTGATCTTAAGCTCCTCTTGGTCTTTCCGCTGCAACAGGTGATGACTCCATATCTCTGCCTGCAGCTAGAAGAACGAAAATGAGGTGAAAAATATTGTTTGTTCGAGGATGTTACTCTGCTCGCTTGACAACAAAATTTGATCTGAACTTATGGTAGATACGCGAACTGAGCAAATCAAACAGAATTCATGGAGATTCGATTCAGAGATCACCTCGAAACGGGCTTCCTGGTATTGAGATAAACATGATGAATATAAGAGTGTTTTGGCGCTAGGAATTGGTGAGCAGCTCCTAGAGAGGCTGACATATCCTACGCTGCTCTTTTTTAGGTCCTTGAGAGTTTGCTTGTGTTAGATATCCTCTGCTTGTGCTGCATAATCAGTGTCTGTTTTGAGTGTTGCTGTTGAGGCTGGAGATATTTCTTTGTCTCCAGGATAATTGGATATTTTCTCAGTGGCCTTGCGCTTCTAGGATCATCCACCAATCATGGACCTCCACGTCGCCTAAAGTGCTCAAGTGGGGTACCCCAGTTAGAAACAAGCTGGTGAGAAATGTTTTGATTCCCATTGTCGTCTTCAGAAATATTTATGGATCTTTACTTTTATTCATCTCATGTTAGAAAGTTTTCGCTAAAAAATTTAAGATAAGTTATGTACGATATTTCAATAATAATAGATATAGATTGAGATTATTACAAATTTAGGTCTGTCAAAATAAATCTAGTGACAAGGACTGTGTATTGCTCTCTCCACAGCTTCAATTTGATATCTGCAGGTGACAATTTCCAGAGTCCTGACTCTAGCTTTTTATATTGGTTTGAGCTCTCTCTTCAATCCAGAATCTCTGCATCAGCCATGACTGATCATGAGCCTCTTCCCCATTCAATTTTCACAGAGTGATTGACAGCAACAAGCTTTATTCCCTCGCCGATCCGCTTGGGATCGACCGTGTCTCAATCCAACAAGTAGTAGTCTTCCTCGTCCGCATCCGGATCATCGGACGGACCGCAGAACATGCCGCCCCACCGCGGGAAGTAGATGAGGGTGACAGGGAGGGTGCAGACAAGCATCAACAGGCCCATGAGCGATATGCTTGTCTGCATCCGCATCTCGGAGCCTGAGAACAAGAGCAGCTGCGTCACGACCGCCCCCACCGTCCCTCCGCTCCCCGCCATCCCTGATATCACTCCGAGTGACCTGCAATTGAATAAAATCTCAGTTCCGCATCGAATCTTGTATGTAGCGGACGGTCATGACCATGGATCTTGATGAATTTTGTTCCCTTTTTAGAGATAATTGGAAGAACAAACTTAGCCTAGTTTGAAAATGTGACGCATCCAATTTACCATAGCCATTAATGTAACCTATCTCCATTTCCGCGTACTTAGAACTTTTTCAGCACCCCCTAATGCCTTTTCTATGCTCTTTAGGCTCCCTAAAGTACAACAAAACCCGACCTCCGCTCGGCCTGGTTCACAAGGGCCCGGACCCCATCAAACCTCGGGTCCCATATGGCTAGACCCGGGGACGCCGCTCCCTACAAAAGCATATTGACATCTTCTCGTTCCTACACATGCCAAACCCCGGAAAATATTAGGATGCGAAATCATGAAAATGGTTTTCCCCGACACGTTCCTAATCAGAACAAATCGAAGAAACAGACTCTTCAATGCATTGTCACATGCTCCAGAACAAGAAAAACAAAACCCTAAAGGACCCAAAAGAATCCCCCTGATCTCATCGCACGACCACAAATTCTTCATCTCCATTTCCTTGCTGGAATTGCCGACTGCCAATCTCCCTCAGCAGGCGAATCCATGCACGACTCTTACGAATCCATTTGAACGAGGACGTGAGAGAATTTGCATGGCTCGGGTTGCATTTTCTATCATGGACCTCACTATAATCCAAAGTTTCAATTTGTCCGTATTGTCATAAAGTCTCCCTGGCGTATTATCTTAATCGACGCGACACTACTGGACATGATTGTTGCTCTGTAATGTTCTTTTCCTGCCCGGTGCTATCTGAAGCTCAGATGAAGGAAGTGTTGAACATCACCCCCTTTTCTTTTCTTGGCTAGCTGACGAACTTTATGCTGATCAACGCAGTAATCGGCACGGGGAAGATTATCCAAAAAAGTCCCAAATCTATTGCTTAAACCTTAACGAATTACTAATGTAATTTTTTCGGCCAATTTCGGCCGGAAAACGCTGACGTGGTGGTCCGATCAGCTTTGGCCGTCCTATGTGACGTGACTGGGCCGGCGCTGAGATGGATAACTTTTTAAACAAATTTTCTGATTTTTTTTCTCTTTCCTTTTTGCCAGTGGCCAGCGAGAGTTGTTTGAGGGTTGTCCTCACCAGATCTGGCGAGGGCTACACTCCCCAACCACAGGCGAGGTCGACCCTCGCCAAATCTAGGCTAGGCTGCAGAGGGCTTGGGGGAAGGCTACGACCCTTACTAGCGGCCGACGAGGGCCTCCCTCACCTAGTGTCGATGAGGGTCGCCACTTGCAATAAAGAAAATAAAAAGAAAAGAAAAAATAAATATATAATTCAAATATTTTAAAAAAATTGCAAAATTATCCATGTCAGTGCCGGCGGTGCCACTTGGGGCAGCCGGCGTCCACGTTAGTGACTTTCGACCAAAATTAGCTGGATAGACTGTATTGGCAAATTATCAAAAGGTTGAAGACTCAATTGGCCAAATTAAAAAATTTATGACTATATTGGCAGAAATACAATAGGTTTAGAACTTTTTTGATAATTTTTCCAATCGACATGCATAACAGTAAATATAAAGCATAGAGTTTAATTGTCTAAGTACGGGATTAAAATAAGAGTAATTATAGCATACACCGATCGTGTAAAAAGAATATGCACAAGCGGCTAAATACACTATTGATCTGAAGCAATGAGTAGTTAAAATCCTCAAATCAAGAGGCCGATAAGAAAGTTTCTGTGAAATTCTAATTACATCGTCGGTGTGTGCTCGATTTTTCCCTAGACTAAAGTGGCGTCGAATCCATGTTTGTACTTTGTAATGCACAATTGGCCTACAATTTAATAAGGATCTAGGTTTTCTCATAGGTGTACAATACATGCATTTGTTTCATCGAAAAACCCGTCTTCTTAATCATGATTTTTTATAAATCACGAACTTCGTGGTGATAATAAAATCTGCATCTAATTGTTGCGAGAGAAATGCAATGCATCTCGAGAATCGAGATTGATTCATAAAATTCACATATCAAATGACGCGTTAGACACTATTTATATGTCTCGAGTATGATTCGATTATTTAGAAACTCGCATATAATATTTCACATCATTTATTAATGAACGAGTTTTAATATATCTAGCATTGCTTCTTAGCAATTGATGGCCCTAATAAAGAGTTAGAAAGTTTATTTTCACTCGACTCAGATCTTAGTTTGGTTTAGAGATCGCTTAAGAGAGATAATCTAATGAATACTGACCGTTTGGAGACAAAAGGAACGACGCCGAACGTGAGCCCGGAGGCGGCCTGGACGAACACGCCGAAGCAGCACATGACCGCGACGGAGCCCCAGAGGGACCCGACCCGCCCGAGCCACACGCACGCCAGCCCCGCCGCCGTCTGCGCCGCCCACAGCCCCCACAGCCGCCCCCTCATCCCGAACCTCCGCCCCAGCACGTCGGAGGCCACCCCTCCGGCCGGCCTCGTCACGCAGTTGGCCGCTCCGAAGCTCGCCGCGATCAGCCCCGCCACCTCCAGCCGCACCCCGAACCGGTCGTAGAAGTACTGAGCCAGGATGTTGTCCGCCGTCAGCTCGACCCCGAAGCAATACCCGTACGTCAGGCCGAGGATCCACCCTCTGTAGTTCCTCAAGCCGTGCACGAGAACGTCGAACAAGCCCTCTTTCGAGCTCTTGCTGTTCCTGTTGTTACGTTTGTAGCGACCGCTTGGCAAGTCTTGGCCAAATGCCAAGACCATGATTGCGGTCACGATCTGGAACGTTGCGGGTACGATGAACGAGACACGCCACGCCGAGGATGACGACACGTGGAGGTGCTTCATTAGGGAGGTGTAGATGAGTGGCATCGCCAGCTGAGTCAGCCCCGACCCCACGTTGGCCCACCCGGCGGCGACCCCATTGGCGAGGCGACGACGTCCCCGGCGAACATGGAGCTCATCCAGAACTGGTTGGCCACGAAGTTGGCGATGGAGAACCCGACGAAGAACCGCACCGCGACGAACCCCCCCGGGGTGGTCACGAGGCCGGCTGCGAGGATGGCGGGCGCGGTGAGGAGGGAGAGCGCGGCGGAGGCGGCGCGGGGCCCCACGAGGTCGCAGGCAGGGCCCATGGCGAGGCGGGAGAGGATGGCGCCGGCGAAGGAGGCGACGCCGGCGGCGCCGACGTCGGCCGGGCTGAGGTGGAGGTCCCGGCGGATGACGGGGAGGAGAGGGGGGATGGAGAAGGTGGCGAAGAAGCAGGAGAAGAGGGAGAGCCACGCGAGGTGGAAGGCGCGCATGTGGGGGGAGGCCGGCGCCGAGAAGGGGCGGAACGCGGTGGCCCTGCCGCTCGGGTCCGTCGGGAGCTGGCCGGAGGAGGGAAGGCCAGGCTGTTTCGTGGGCCGTCGGCCGTCGGCTTCCATTGTGGGGGTTGGGGGGGAGGGAAAGAAAAGGGCGTTAAAACTTAAAAGGAACCTTAAAAAAGAGTGCGTTTTCAAAAGGGGAGTCATAGAAGTTATAGAGTAAAAGGAGAAGGGGCCCCTTCTCATTTTCTCCTTTCGATGGGGTATGGGACTTGGGATTTTTAGTGGAGAAATTCAATTTGGTCTGTCGATTCTCGTGCCACTGCAACATGACTGGACCCTTCCAATGTCCTGGACCTTGGCGTCTAGCACGTAAATAATTACTAAAGTCCTTGAAACGAAACCGCATGATTACTAACTGGACGACAGGAGAAATATCCCCCACACCTTTCGCCGGTCCTAGATGTACCCGCGGTAGGGCAGTAAGTACTAAGTAGCCAATTCCTTCTAGAAAAAGAAGAAGAAGAAGCCAATTCCTTGAAGGGATATCTCATTTTCTATGGGCAGAGAGATATGAAGGGTTCGAATCCCAAGACGTCAAGGTGAAATTGGAATAGAACAAGTGATTAGTTTTTGTCCATTGCATCTTGTCCGTTCATCGAATTTGTCGATTGGGTATTGAACTTTTGGCTTGAGGCGATCATTGGTGATGGTCTGATGGACCTAGAGGTGGCAATATGGGTTAGAAATCCAATTATTAACTCATTTTTAATGGGACCAAGTTGAATATAAATCACTTGAAATTTTGAAAAAAAATCAAAATGGATTTGCAACGTCAAAGCTCAAGTTTATATGGGTCAAATATGGGTTGAATATGGGTTTGCAACAAACCCATATTCAATCCATATTTGACAAATTTAAGTTATTAACTTGTAACTTTGTAAGCTAAATAGATTAAGTGTCATTTAAAAAAAATTATTTTTTATTTTTTTAAAAATCGAAATTTTTAATTTTATTTTCATTTATTTCTTTTTCATTTTTTTTCATTTTTTTTCTTTTTATGTTTCCTTCTTCTTCGGCCGGTCGCCGGCCACGGTGATAGCGGGCGACCAGCCATAGGCGAGCTTTGAGCTCGCTCGAGCTCGCCTGATTCCGGTGAGCTCGAGGCTAGTCTAGATCGGCAAGCTCGAAGCTCGTCGGATGAGTCTCGAGCTCGCCGATCTAGACGAGCTGGAGCTCGCTGGACGAGCTCTCGGGACAAGCCTCGAGCTCAAGCTCGCCGATCTGGTCGAGCTCGAGCTCGTTGGACGAACTCCAGCTCGGCCAGATTGGCAATCTTGCTTGTGGCCGGCCGAAGAAGAAGGAAAAAGAAAAAGAAAAAAAAATTAAAGTTCTCATTAAGAGCTGAACTACTAGTTTGTGGCAGCTGATGCCACTTAGAAGAGAGATATTAATTTAAAAATGCCACGTCAGTATTTTTCGTTAGATAAATTAATTGTGTTAACTTTAGGACTTGATTTCATCAACTTGACAACTTTTAGGACTTGATTGCACTTTTTAAAAGTTTTATAATTCAATTGCAGAGTACATGACTTCAGATCTAACATTTTACTTTTTTTTCAAAAACTCGAATAAAACCGCTTGTGTAAAAATGCGTTTGAATTGGAGCTTGTCATTTCACTATTTACATCGACATTCAAAGTCATTTAAATTTTTTTTCCTTTTCTTTCTAGATTTGAAATAGTCATTGCTTTATTTTTTGCGAGAAAAAAATGAACATGACCTCCTCAGTCCATCGTCAACCAACATAACTACCTCTTCGTGCGAACCAAGAAGGAAGAAAAGACACAGGAATATGATAAGCTCCATGAAAAAGCTGTCGCCCAGAACCAGCTTCAACGCCTACGTAGATGCGTGCTTCTCCTCGTTGAAAAGCCTCCCCAGCCAAGGCTCGGCCGGACAGGTGACCGCGCTCCACGGCCATTTCATCAAACTGGGCATATCTGCAGAGAGATACATCGCCGTCAAGCTCCTCGTATTGTACCTGCATCACCGGAGGTCGAGGGAAGCGGATCAGATGCGGAGGGACTTTGATGGGTCCGGCGTGATCGTGCAGAACTGCTTGATCACCGCGAGCATGGAGCGGGGGGACGTCGACGAGGCGCGGCGGCTGTTCGACGAAATGCCCGAGAGGAACGAAGTTTCGTGGACCGCGCTTGTTTCGGGCCTGATGAAGTGCGGGCGAGTGGAGGAGTCGATGTGGTACTTTTGGAGGAGCCCCTTTCGGAACGTGGTTTCGTGGACGGCGGCGATTAGCGGGTTGGTTCGGAACGGGTCGAGTTTCGATGCTCTGAAGCTTTTCAAGGAGCTGCTCGAGTCCGGGGTCAGGCCTAACAGTGTTACCTTCACTTCTTTGTTTAGGGCATGCTCGTGCACGAAAGAGTTTTCTTTCGGGATGTGTGTCTTGGGATTGATAGTTAAAGCTGGTTTGGAGCATTGTGTATCGATCTCCAATTCGTTAATAACATTTTTCTTGAGGATGCATGAGGGTGAACAGGCTAGGAGAATATTTGATCGGATGCAAAAGAGAGATGTCGTCTCATGGACCGCGATCCTAGATATTTATGGTGAAATGGGGGACTTGGGAGAGGCACACAGAATTTTTAATGAGATGCCAGAAAGGAATGAAGTATCTTGGAGCGCGATGATCGCGAGGTACAGTCAGAATGGTCATCCCGAAGAAGCGGTGGACCTATTTCTTCAAATGGTTCGTGATGGATTTACGCCAACTGTTTCTTGTTTATCTTGTGTCATTAGCGCTATAGCTGACTTAAAAGCTTTGCGAGCAGGGATGAGCTTGCACGCTTGTGTTATAATGATTGGAATTGCACAAGATGTATATATTAGCAGTTCTCTAATTGACTTGTATTGCAAATGTCAAAATACCGTGACAGGACGCTTGCTGTTTGACTCGATGTCGTTAAAGAATGTCGTTTCCTGGAATTCAATGATCTCGGGGTACAGTTTGAATGGACAGATGGAGGAAGCTTTGGAGTTATTTGAGAACAGTCCTGTACGAAATCAGGTCACCTGGAATAGCATAATAGCTGGTTATGTAGAAAGTGGACAGTTTGATAAGGCCTTTGAGGTGGTCAATAAGATGCTTTTGTCAGGGGAAATCCCCAGTGAATCCACTTTCTCTAGCATCCTCTGTGGTTGTGCAAGCACTGCTTCGATAGAGAAAGGGAAGAACTTCCATGCAAAAGCAATTAAACTTGATCTCGAGAGCGATTTATTTTTAGGCACTGCGCTCACTGATATGTATGCAAAATGTGGAGATATGTGTGGTGCTAAGCAGGTTTTTCATAGAATGCCTGAAAAAAATGAATGCTCATGGACTGCAATGATACAAGGTCTAGCCGAAAATGGTTTTGCAGAGGAATCCATTGCTCTGTTCGAAGATATGGAAAGGAACTTCTCTGCAGCTCCTAATGAGCTCATGCTTTTGTCCGTTTTATTTGCTTGTTCTCATTCGGGGTTAGTCGATAGAGGTCTCCAGTATTTCAATGCGATGGAGAAAGTATATGGTTTAAAGCCGAATAAAAGGCATTACACCTGTGTGGTTGATATGCTTTCTAGATCGGGCCGCCTCTCTGAAGCAGAAGGATTCATCGAGGCAATGCCATTTCCACCAGAACCGAATGCATTGGCTGCTCTATTAAGTGCTTGTACTAAGTACAGGAATGATGCGATCGGAGAAAGGACTGCTAAAAAGCTCTGGCAACTGGATGCGAAGGATTCTGCGGGCTATGTGTTAATGTCGAACATATATGCTTCAGCAGGAAGATGGGTCAATGTAGAAAATACCAGGAAGTTGATGAAGGAAAGTGGGTTGAAGAAGAGTGTCGGCTGTAGTTGGGTCGAAGTGAAGAATCGGGTCCGTTCTTTCTACTCAGAAGACAAATCTCACTCCCGATCCGCTGAGATATACGGAATACTAGATTTATTGAGGTTGGAGATGACTGCTTCTTTCGAGACACTCCCTTTCTGAAGTGGAAACTTGCCGATGATTGCAGCAGCGGGCACTTCCAATGTACGCTAGAATGACGAGTCAAATCAGAAGCAGGCCGGCGATTTTGGAGCCAAGTCAATCACGGGGCAGAAAGACAGACCTTTCCGGTGGAAAACGGGAGAGGAATCGTCATGCCAAAAGATGAGATTCCTAGAAATAGAATGCTTCTGCAATCTTGCTTCAGAAGTTTGTCATCTTTTCATAGTTGATGCTGAAAACCACTTCGATCCCATGTCAAGAAGTAAACACCTCATCTGACAACAAGCAGATTTGAAGAGCACATCATGAGACAGATGCAAATGTACCCATCTATCATTCCACGCTGTATGTGATGTACTGTCATCCGAACAGGATGGATTTGAGCTTTGGATAAGCCCCTCCAACTCCAAGAGAAAAAGATCTTTACTGGGAATCTGGAGACAAGTCAAACCAAGGGGTGAAATCGAGCCGACTCGAGTCCAACAGATGGCCTTTTCGAACTTAACTCGAAAAATCCTCGTCCCGATACTCGGCTTGCATATTTTTGTACATGATCTATCAAGTTTAATCATAATGTGAAAGGTGTCTGATGTGCTAATTGTAAGAGTTAGTTTTAAGCCCAAGTTAGGCTCCACTACTAAATGTATAATCCAATTTAAAATCCACAGTAATACGTGATCAATCTTGGACAGCTCAAATCAAGCATCAAGCATGATTTATGACTATTCTGTGCTAAGATTTACTTCCTGAGTTGAAGCCCAATGAATCTATGGAATTCCAACTTAAAAAAAAAAATTGTGGCAAAGATAGAAAATTTCAGATGTCGATATTTGAATATCCTTATAAGGTAAAATTCAGCCGCGAAATTGGAGAAAAATAATAAGTTTAAAAATAGGATTCGATGTAAACCTGGCAAGGCTGGCATATCGTTAAAAGAAATTCAAAAAAAAAGGAAAAAGGAAAAGAAAACCGTTGTTTCCCTCCCACAAGGACTCACGCCCCGTATAAGTACCCCGCGCTTCAATTCTCTCTCTCTCTCGTCGTCCATTTCTGCATAAGCTTGACGATTTCTGTGCTCGGCTTCTTCCAGGATCTGTTCCTTCTCCTGGATAGCGATCGAAGAAACTCCGGTCATGGATTCGTACACGCTGAAGTCCGTTTCGGATCTTCCACCGCCTTTCCGATCGATCTACAGCTTCAGGTACGCAATGTCGCCGACCGAGTCGAACGATTCATCTTCGAGCGCTTGCGGATGCGTGGAACCGGCTCGTCTCTCGCATCGATCTCTCTTCCGCCGGATTTCCGGCTCCGCGCGTGCCGTTACCGTGCTCCGATCTAGTCATCGCGAGATGGATTTTCGAGTAGTTCGAAAGTTGGCTCATGTGAAATCGGCTGTTGTTTCTGCATCGCTCCCTCATATCTCCGTTTTCCAGCTCCGTCTAGCGTCGGTTCGAGTGCTAGAACATGCGAAGTCTGCTCTCTGCTCATCTTCTGCATCGATCGATCTTATCTCAGATTTTAGCTCTGTATAGAGTTGCTAAGTTCTGTCGATCGTGAAATGGATGTGCAGCTATTCGCGTGTGTGCAGATTGTGTGGAATTGGATCGTTCTTCTCTCGTATTTGAGCTCTGTGTGGTCTTACTATGCTCTGTTTTGATCATGATGATATGGATGTACGTTGCGAATCATTGAATATGTCCGTTCTTTTTGTTTGGTAATCGTCTCATAGAACTTCAAGAATCAGCTGTAAGGAAGATACTTTTATATATTTCTGATCAGATGTGGACTTTTTTGGATTCATCCTACTATTTCAAATGCGTTTCTTATATTTAAATAGGTACTTTAATTCGCTGCAAAGCGAATGTTTCCCTAGTTGTTTCCACTCCGATGTAAACATGGTCATCTCGGCGCCGACTGGGAGCGGTAAAACAGTGCTCTTCGAGCTTTGCATTCTGAGGCTGCTCTCGAGATTTATAACCGACGAAATAAAATTCTTCCACAGCAAAGGAACACTTAAGACAGTAAGTCCCTAAATGAACGCGGCGATGTTATTATTATGATATCGACTACAAAGCTGTAGATTAAGTCAGTAAATACGGATTTATTTATTTATTTAGTTAATAAGCGACTTCATATGGTCATTGCCAGCTAAGCATGTGCTTTTTATGAATATCCAGTTGAGCATTCCATGACTGCTGGAAAAGTTCTTTTTAGAGAAACATCCCTCATCTGTAGTGTTACTGTGTTTCTTCTACAACTACGTCATTTTTCATGCATCGATGAGTAATTGCCTCTTGCTTTTTATATGGTTCCAGATATATATTGCTCCCTCCAAGGCTTTAGTACAAGAGAAGCTCAGGGACTGGAGCCAAAAGTTTGGATCGTGGGGAATCAATTGCCTCGAGCTGACCGGTGACAATGATGCTTACAAGACAAGGAATATACAGGAAGCAGACATCATTCTAACAACACCCGAGGTTAAAATGTAGCCTTAGAGACATGGTTGATATGTAGTTGAACTAAGACCTCACATTTCATTCGCATGTTTCTAGCGAACTGGAAAAATGATCGGAGAAAACCCTGTATAGTTAGCTCTTTGTAGAATCTCTAGGATGCATCTGCACGTGGACAACTAGTCTTCTTGCCCATTTACTTGTCATGCTGAAGCCTAGATTGATTTCATTTCCCTTCTCTGTAGAAATTCGATGCAGTGACTCGCTATCGCATAAAGGATGGAGGCTTGAGCTTTTTCAGCGATATTGCACTCTTACTCATCGATGAAGTTCACCTGTTGAATGATTCACGTGGAGCCGCTCTGGAGGCAATCGTTAGTAGAATCAAAATTCTTGCTAGCAACCCAAATTTGAAGTTGACTCCTCTTGCTCATGTGCGCCTTCTAGCCATCTCTGCGACAATTCCAAATATTGAAGATCTTGGTAATGTTTGTCCTTGGCATAAAGCTGCCTGTAAATGCATGCATTGATGCAAACCATAATTTGAGGACTTCCAAAAGATAACAATACATTGTCAAGTTCAACAAATTTAAGAGCTTCTGTAATTTACTGCAGCTGAATGGCTTATGGTTCCTGCTCAAGGAATTAAAAGGTACTAAGTGGTACCTATCCCATAATGTTCCCTGTCTATCTCATTCAATTTTTTTATGCTGTAATCTGTTTTCAGGTTTGGAGAAGAAATGAGACCAGTGAAATTAACTACTAGAGTTCTTGGTACACATGCTGGATTTGAGTGCTCACTGTTTGAAGAATACATGCGGTCATTTTAAATTCATATTCTCACTTTTCAGTTAATATTTTGACAGGCTACACCCCAGCAAAAAATGACTTTCTTTTTGAGCAGGCAAGTTCTTGTCATACTCATAATTCCTTGGCTGAGAACACTCGGTGTCTGCACGACCTAAGTTCTACTTCTCAAATTTATACTTCTTTAACTATGAGATTCATATTCGACCAAAAAAAAACTATGAGATTCATAGGTAATGTTTTATAATGCTTCCTTCTTACTATTGCTGTTTGCTACCATTTTCCAGCGCCTTCAGAACTTCATATTTGGTGAGTAGAAGGGACAAACTAGTCAATGCAATATATTTCTTTATCGCAACTTTATCAACTAGACCGGGTAACAAGATTGACACCACTTTATTTATCGAAATACTTGGCAGACATTCTAATGCAATATTCCAAAGGGAAGTCTGCTCTTGTTTTTTGTTCAACTAGAAAAGGAGCACAAGAAGCAGCACAGCGACTTTCGCAGATGGCAATGACATTTGGTTATTCAAATCCGTTTATTAAGAACAAGGAACAACAAGAGAGTCTGAGGGAAGCTTCATTGTCTTGCAGTGACAAACAAATGCAGTCTTACATCATTTATGGTGGTATGAGAACATCTCTCTACTCCATGACACGTCATCATGTAGGTTTAATTTTGAAATGCTCTTACAAGCTAATTTTTACTGAAAGTTCAGTGAATTGTATGTCTGCAGTTGCTTATCACCATGGTGGGCTTGGCTTGAAGGATCGTAACCTTGTTGAAGGTCTATTTCTTAAGGGGGACGTACAAGTTTTGTGCACTACTAATACTCTCGCCCACGGAATCAACTTACCTGCACACACAGTAGTAATTAAATCAACAAGAAACTTGTATGTCTTACTTATCCTGGTCGCTGTTTCTTAATATTCATGTAAAGAGGTGCTTCCCACTAGATTTAACATTTCTGCAATCCATCCAGCAACAAGGAAAAAGGACTCTATGTGGAGTATGACCGATCAACAGTACTGCAGGTAGATGATGTCTTGGTGTACTTAGAAAAAACTGAATTATATATCATTTAAAAATGGCCGTATGCTGGAGATGCTGCAATTATCAAATTTCCCTAAGTAGTTCTGGCACATCTCTTAGAAGAATGTGTCTGGGAGGTAGTATGGCTGCTAGGTGATTATGTCTTAAGGAATATCTCTAGATACAAATATAAAGTACATCATGATGTTGTGGTCATCAGTTATTAGGAGTCCCGGGGTGAATGCTCCACAAAAAGTATATTACTATACTTAGTGAAATTTGGCCATCATTTTGGGTATAAAATTGAGCATTCAGGACCAAGATGGTGGATATTCTGATGGGATGATGATCTTTAAAGAGCATTTGTGTTTTTCTATTGACTGCCAAAGAAGGATATTAATCATGATGTGATATAAATGTCTCCTGGATTAGAAATACTTATCTATTTGGTCATGTTTAGAGGGTGATTATATAAGGTAAAACTGAGAGCAAAATTATCTTTCCTTGGCCATGGTTTATGTTGATTTTAAATTTTATTCCATTGTTTATTGATGGAGCATTGACATTTCAACTCCCTGGATCTTAGGGAGCGTATCTACTTACTGGCCACTTTGTTGCTATTGCCAATGCAGATGTGTGGAAGGGCAGGGAGGCCACCATTTGATGATACAGGAATGGTTATTATTATGACGAGAAAGGAAACGGTATCTTAAGTCGTCCATCTGTCTATTGTTTCTGATGATTGCACTTTATGGTGAAATTATATGTTCTTGTAATTCGTCTGATAATCTGTGTAGGTTCATTTGTACGAGAATCTACTGAATGGATGTGAAATTGTCGAGTCACAGTATGTTTATCTCATCCTTTTAATTGAAATGTTGCCTGGTTTTGTTTTAGTTTGTCAAACAAATACTATAACTTGAAATTCATGGGTTTACCTTTTCTGTTCAGATTGCTCTCTTGTGTGACAGAGCATCTGACTGCAGAGATAGTGCAGCTGACTGTCACTGACATCACTCGAGCAATTGAGTGGATGAAATGCTCTTATTTGTATGTCAGAATGAAAAAGGCATGTACTGATAACAAATTTATTGGGTACATCACCGAAATACTCTTTGCCAATAATGGTTGACATTCCTCTCATGCTTTAGGACCCTGGGAAATATGCTATCAAGAAAGGAATAACTAATAACCAGATAGAGAAGCATATGCAAGGTATTTTCATAAATTGTTACCCTCCCTTCCACCACCGTGGCCACCCTCCCTTCCTTCCACCACCCCCAAACCAACCCAAAAAAAAAAAAGGAAAAAAAAATCCACAAAAAAAGGAGAAGGATAAAAAGAAAATTGCAAATACAAAGCTTGTAATTTCCAACTCTGCCCACTCTTTCAGAGATCTGCCTTCAGAAAGTACATGAGTTGTCGCAGCATCAAATGATCTGGACTGATGAAGATGGTTTTCTCATAAAGCCACTAGGTATATATCAACTTATAAAACAACATTGCCGACTGATGTATCTTTTAATGATTCTAAACCTTTTTGTTTCTGTTCTGCAGAGCCTGGTCACCTGATGACAAAGTACTATCTAAAATTTGACACAATGAAGTACATAATGCAGGCCCCTGCAAATTGCAGTTTGGAGGATGCACTTCATGTTGTATGCCATGCTGAGGAACTTGCTTGTATGTGTGCTAATGTTGACAGTTGGGAATATTGACAAGCCCGGAAACTTGACAGAGGATCTGCATTTTGTCCTGTAGGGATACAGCTAAGACGCAATGAGAAGAAGTTTCTGAATGACATTAATGCTGATAAGGATGGAAGGCTCCGGTTTCACATCATTGGTGATAAAGGAAAACCAAAAAAGCGTATTCAGACCAGAGAAGAGAAGATCTTCGTCCTGACAAATGATTTTTTAACTGGCGATCCTTTAGTTCATGATTTGTCCATGACCCAGGTTGATTGCCTGTAAATAAAATTTGTCTTCCATGCATCATGCCAGTTGGGTTCATATTAAGTTTTCTATCATCTCACTGTAGGATATGAACTCTATCTTTCCAAATGGATCTAGAGTTGTGAAGTGCTTGAAAGATTATTTTCTGTACAAGAAAAACTACATGGGAGCAGTTAACTCCGCCAGATTGGCCAAGTCGTTGCATCAAAAGCTCTGGGATGACAGTAAATACTTGTTGAAACAATTGCCTGGCATAGGAATGGTGACTGCCAAGGTTAGCTGTTCTGCTTATCCCTTACTCCAGAGAACCAGACTAGTTTGCGTTTCAGTGTTTTCTTCTTACAATGTTCTCTTCCTCAATGATGTTATGAAGGGTCTGCTTTCCATGGGAATTGATTCATTTGAGAAACTACACGATGCTGATCCAAGGAGGATAGAGATAGTCACTGGTCGCAAATATCCATTTGGGAATCAAATCAAGGAGTCTCTACAGTCATTACCTCCTAAGGTTGAGATGAAAGCTGAGGAAATAGAATGTGAAAGGCAAGGAACAGCTAAGGTGTCAATCACGTTGACTCGCCTATTGGAGTCAGTTCTATCAAATAAAGGACATTATGCTGACATGGTATGCTATTAGGAATCCATCCGTAGGTTATGCACTTTTTAAGACTAGTTTGTGCTTCCGTTGCAACTGTGATTACTCAATTTTTAAAGAGGAAATAATTACAACTAAGTTACTCCCTTGCAGATTGTGGGTTCAGAAGAAGATAATTGCATCCATTTCCACAAAAAGATAAGGTGATTTTTTATCTACCTGTAGTCTTCAATGCCCATATCCAAGAATGACAATTCATTGTTGACACTATGCGCTTTCAAGCAGCTATAAATAGTTTATATATCCGTTATGCTCTATTATTCACCTTGATTTCTAGCGACTAACTAAGTACTTGTGAATTGGTGTTGACAGAGTGGCTGAGTTCAGCAGGTAAGCAAACTCAAGGCTCTTTCTACAAAATGACTCGAACAGCTATCGGTTTCTAAGTAAGGTTCACCCATATTGGTCCAGGGTGAAGAAACCACAAGAATGCTGTCTCTTCTTTTGAAAAATCCATGCCTCTAATGTTCCAGGATAGCAATTTCTTGTTTGGCATTTGGTGGGGCATGTATTATTCAGCTACATACATCACTGCACTTCCACCGGAAACTATGTGAATCACATTGTTAAGAAACAGGAGTTTTGTAGCTTTCATCAAGGATAATTAAGTTATATGCTATGTTATTATACAATGTTAGCTCCTTGCTTGATTTTGCAGTCCATATAACACAACAGTCTACGTGTCACGTCCGAGGCATGGAAAGTTGACTGTTAAGGCTGACCTGATTTTCGAAGAATACCGTAAAACCTTTTCCTTGATGTCATTAGTATTTGCAAAGTAATGAACACTGACATTGCAGACATGCTTCAAGTTGCGTTTGCCGGTTGATGCAGTTGGCATTGATCTGCACCATACTGTACAATTGAAGGAGAACCGACCGAACACCGATAATGAAGGTGATAACAAGAAGCCTTCATCTTTCCCTCTATCAGGGCAAGTGGGCACTACAAACTGCAACAGTAAAAGCTCATCCAATGCCATAGCAAGAAGTTTTCATAATTTCCACATGTCTAAAAGCAAAAGCAATTCTGGGTAAGTTGCTCCTCTTGCTTAATAAACATCAACTAGATTGTCGTCTAAAACACCACGCGTTCTTTTTTTAGTTCCAGCATAAGTGTCTTTGAGATTCTCACATTGATCACTTGTTCTTCCATTCCAGGCCCAGTTTTGACCTCATAGATGAAGAGTCGGTAGAAGGTATTGCTAAGCAATTTACTCTTCTTCTTTTTTCCGCTTGGTGATCCTTATTTCCTCTTTCGAGTCCTCAGATATGTTTCTGCTTCTAATTGATGAAGGTGAGCCAACAAAGAGAGATGATGATGACGATGACTGCAAGATCATATCTGAAATTACCGTCTTTGACCATATACGTGAAAAAGCCAAATGCTTTCCTGCACTGACTGCGTCGAGCTCTTCCTGTTCGCCATCACGTCAACTCCTGGATATACAAAAAAAGCGCAGCCGCGAAATGCCACAAAAGCTTCCCGAGTTAATAGAAATTCAAGAAGAGACAGAGGGATGGGATACCAATGACAACTTGAATGGATGTGACGCCGACGACCCTTTGAGTTCAAAGCGACATTTTGCAGATGCATTCTCAGTGCCAGTGAACCCCGAAGGTGAGAAACATGCTTATTTTCTTCAAAGCAATAGTACCTCCAGATGTTCATCTCTTTCGTGCAGAGTTTGAGACCATCTGCCTACATTTCTAAAGGTGGATTTCCGTCCAAACCTAAAGAAAATGCATCCGCGGCTTTGAATGAAGTAATTGTATTTGATCACATTCGGAAGAAATCGAAGAACCTCCCGGTTCTCACTGGTCTGAAGATGTTAGAGTCCAAGCCCCTTGTCGGCACAAAGGAGCACTCATTCACGGAGCAGCCTCATCACACTACATCCAAAGACATTCTTAGAGACTACACTAACGTCTCGAGTGCGGAGCCCACACAGGTGGGAAAAGATCCACGCCGTGCACATTCACTTGGGGTTTCAAGGACAAGTATCGACATATCTTCGATGAAGATCCTTTCGTTCGATAGCCCCACAGCAAAGAAGAGTGCCTCGCAGGCCGACCCTCACAAATCCCCTGGAGTTTGCAAGAAGCTTGATTGCTCTCGCAGTGGACTAGCTGCAGGTAAAACCAAGGAAACGGACTCATGCCTCGGTTTCAGAAGCATCTTCTCATTCCTCTGATTTCTTACTTGCCAAGAAACGCACGCCGGTCTCGCATTCTGATAAATCCTCTCCTTTTCATCCCTCGGTGATCTCTCTGTCGGTCACCATGTGTTTGCCATTATCCATCACTCGATGCAAAAGCCCATGTAACGGACTGCAGAGGCATAACACGAATGCCCCTGAGATCCAAAACGCCATAGATGCGAACTTGTCGGCTCTGCTACGGCTCAACCACTACGCATGCATGTAGATAAGCTCTGCTCTGCTCGACTATTACATTCAGCACAAGAAAGCTGACCTGTTCAACGGGTTCACCTAAATGAACCATTTGAATCTGACGAACGTTCGCATACAATGATGAGTACGCTTGAAATATGAGTTGAGAAGTTCACAAAGTCAAGGGCAGGCGAGTCGCGCAAAGCACTTTTATCACATGGAAAAGTACTTAATTTGTTCAACGTTTTAGACACATTGTCCTTCGTTCGATAGCCGATCACTTTATGTACGCTTTTTAACTAAATTCAATTTAGATTAATACGGGCGGGGGTCATTTTCGTTCTTGTCACGTTTGCATCGAGTGCCATGGACACAATCATATATATTGTGTTCAATTTATGTATTACCTTGACGACCGTGTGTTTCTTTGGTGATTCATGGACATTATTTTCACTCAAATTGACAATTCCATTAGGAACACCTCTCCAACAATATCTCCATTAGGGAGGATTTTATTGGCTCAAGCACTTATTTGTTGAGGAGGAACCAATTCAATTTTGAGTTGTTAATGTTTATACCAATCAATCATAGAAGAAAAATTGAAAAATTGATTCATTCCTATTAAACGTCATTCCTATAAATTGGAAGTTCTTCTCGGATACAAGGAAATAATTCAGTTCTAGAATCAAGGATCGTAGTTCTTGAACGTGAAATCAAAAAGATTATGGAGCATTTTTAGATTTAGGTATTTGTTCACCCAATGATTGTAGTACCAAGTACTTCTTGGCAAGCTCTAATACAACTATTCATAACTTATTTTCAAGGGCAAATGAGTAACTCGATATGGAGTTTAAAAAAATATTAAAAACAAAAAGCCCACTGGGTCGCTCGAAGGGACGCGTGGATACCATGCGTGGCGGAATCGCAGAGAGAATTCAAAGTATTCCCCTCTCCCAGAAACGTTCACGAGTCCGATCAACCTCTCTCGGTTTCTGCTTCTCTCGCTTCACTTCACCACCCCTTCCTCCGTTGGCCGTCGCAGTGTTGTTTCCTCCTCACTTTAAAAATTGGCAGGTGACGAACGTTCGATTCTCTTTCTCCCTTCGATTTTGTCGCGAATTCCTCGTTTCATAGGGTATCGGCTATCGAGGGTAATTCTCGGTTGTGCGTAATTTAGAAGATCATGGGGTTCTGGTGCGTGCATGCATGCATGTGAGCTCGGCTCGTTACGCATTCATTCGTGCTCGTCGCGGCGACGCTTGTTCAGTTGCCCGTGTGATTTTTGCAGAGAAAGGGCTCGAACAAATGGCTGCTTCGCATAAGGTGGCGCACGCCGCTCGCAGGGGCCCGAGCATCGTGAAGGAGATCGTGTACGGGATAACCCTCAGCGTTTCCGCGGGGTTGATGTGGAATGTGCACCACTGGAATACCCAGAGAAGGACCAAGGAGTTCTATGATCTGCTCGAGCGTGGTGAGATCAGCGTTGTGGTCGAAGATGAGTAGGGTTTTTAAGTAGGTTTTGGACTCTGGTTATCGGTCAGTGGATGCTTTGGTGCGTACTTCACCGTGGTAAGCATTTCATGCGCCAAAAAAATTTCCCAATTGATCTTGTGATCGAAACATAGTGTACTACAATTCAAGTGGATGATATATATATACACACACAGGGGTGTGCAACCGGACCGGGTTTACCCGGAAACCGGACCAGCCCACCCGAAAAACAGGTCCGGGAACCGGTTCTAACAAGAACCGGTCCGGGTACCGGTTCCATTTTTTGGGAACCGGTTAGAACCGGTCCGGTTTCCGGTTCCAAGTAAAAACCAACCCAATCCTGTTTTAGAACCGGTTTGAGAACTGGTTTTGAGATAATGTACAAAAAAGTAAAAAGCCTATATCACGTTACCCTACTTCACCGGTTTTAGAACCGATTTCCGGTTTAATATTGGAATATGTTTCACAACCACGAGCGAAACAGCACGGCCCTTAAAGTCATCTAAATATTGTGTGATTCAGATGAGATATATAGACATTTTTCTAGTGAGAGCAGATGCCTTACCGCTAGGTCTCTTAATTTTTCTTTCAAGATATTTCATTCGGAAACAGAAGTGAGGAGTTATCTCATCATGGCGCAAAATAAAGAGCTAAACATGTTGAATAAATTCCCTGGAAATGTGACTCTTAAAGATTTATGCGATTGGACTATGTCTTGCCACATAGTGCTTTTGGATTGTTGATTTTGATGGATTGTAATTTCAATTGCTCATTTTTGGGATTGTTACTTTTGGCGGATAATGATTTTTGTTATTCATCTTTTATTTTAAATCGTTTCATTGCTACCTATATTATTTTGCTAGAAAAAAATGAAACCGGACAAAGGAACAAAAAAAAATAGGTTCTCGGGTAGACCCACGAAGCCGGACCAGGAAAAGCAGGGTTGGTTCCAAAAGCAGTGTCAGGAAAACAAGGTTGGTTTCGGGTTCAAAATTGGGAGCGGTTATAACGAGGGTTGGTTTTAGGTTAGGTCCGGACCCAACCCACCGGAACCGATCACCCCTACACACACTAGCTCGCGCACGCAGCTTGCACCGCACTGCACCGCACGCAGCTTGCACCGATAAGATCATCACCAGAATCGCAGCACCAGGGCGTTTCTCTCTCATCTCTCCCTTTCTCTCTCTAGCTCGCGAAGAGAAGCTGCATCTTGCTCCGGCGAAGAGATGGTGTCCGCTGAAGTGGCTCGGAACGTGGTTGGCATTATCGGTAATCGCTTCTCCCGTTTCGTCCGGCGTTCTCCTTTAGGTTCTCACGACCGATGATGAGCTCGGCGTCGCGAGCGTGCTCGCACTGCACTGCATATGCCCTCATCAAGCTCGACGGCTTCATTCTGGTAATTGAAACAAAACTTGAATGAATTTTCAACCCTTTCACTTTCAAAGTCAAGAAGCATGAGAAATGTAAAGAAAAAGCCACGTACACGAAAAACTTGGGAACAACCCTCCTGCAGATTAGCAATGGTCTCGGGGTGCTCTCCGGTGCGGCGCAGCTCTTCCTCTACGGTTGCTACTTCAGGTCCACGCCGCCGAGAGATGAGAAGGTCGTCGACGCGAAGGCTTCTCAAATCCAGCTGTCTGGTTGGCATTTCACAGGAATGTTCCTGGATTACACTCTATCTGGTCCATTAGAAACAGAGAGCTGGATTTGAGAAGCCTTCGCGTCGACGACCTTCTCATCTCTCGGCGGCATGGACCTGAAGTAGCAACCGTAGAGGATGAGCTGCGCTGCACCGGAGAGCGCCCCGAGACCATTGCTAATCTGCAGGAGGGTTGTTCCCAAGTTATTCGTGTACGTGGCTTTTTCTTTACATTTCTCACGCTTCTTGACTTTGAAAGTGAAAGGGTTGAAAATTCATTCAAGTTTTGTTTCAATTACCAGAATGAAGACGTCGAGCTTGATGAGGGCATATGCAGTCCACACGCAGCCATTGAGAAAGTTGGCTAGCGAGAGATAGAAGGGCATGTACTCCACACTCTTTGTGGTGATCACTTTTTTCTGCAGTAGACAAAGGTAAAAGAAAGAGGCAAAATTAGACAATGAAAGGATCAGCATTTGCCGGAATTGATAAAATATGGTTTTAGTTTACAACGAGGGAAGGGGGATGGATGTGTACGTACCATGATGGTAAGAGGTGAGCTGTACATTATGATGTTGAACACGTCGCAGATAATTCCAAAGGCGAGAATTCTTCTCTTGTGGTCTTGAAAAACCAGTAGGAACACCAGTGACACCACGGCAATGAAGACAACTTCCCCGCAGAGACAATAGACCACCTTTTTCTGGAAAAAAGAAGAAGTGAGCATTAGCTGTCAATCGTAATGTTCTGAAATTTGTCAAAGTGCCTAGGACGGAATGAGTGTTTGTACAATACAAAATTTGGAAATTGGAGTGTCTAGAAAACGGTATTACTTAGTGCCTTGACTTAAGGTACATCGACCGAAAACTAAGATATGTGACACATTCTAATTTGATGGATGAATGTTACATAGATAGGACATGACATAATCACCGATCTTTGACTAGAAAAACTTTATAAGAGCAGCAAACTAAATAAATGCCAAATTCAGGAAAAAAGAAGAAGAGAGAACAAGACTAACTACGGTGCATCTATGATTATTGTATACCAACAATGTTCTATTTGAATAAATTTGAATTAGTGACAGCATGTATCCAATTATTGTACAGAACTTTGAAATGCATAACTGGAACTTTTATCACTTTATTCCAGTAGAATTCCATTCAGATAGCACGGTATAAGTAGAAAAGCTATCGGTAAGACAGATTTGAAAGTAAATCTCGATAAGTCAAGACAAAGAAAAAATGAATGGATGAAGCTCAAATACATAATGAGCACACACCCTTCCCTTGTTTGGAGCATATGAAAAGAAAATGCATATGTAGATGAGCTCTATCGCAAGCCCGACAGGGTAACTGGTGACAACAAGGATGCTATTCGGATGCACAAAGGGCAAGCCGTAGAGAAGCCAGAAGACGCAGTTCAACACGGTAGCAAGGTAAGGATACATGTGAAATTCCCCCACCGACTTGTTCTTTATGATTCTATAAAACATCGGATTGCAAAGCAAACCAACAGATATAAAAACCTTAGTAATTGAGAGTACTGTACAGGTGACATCAATGCATTACTTAACCTAGAAAAACATTTAAGGGTTCTCACTAGCAAATTCAAATTTGAGTACACTACAGTGATCCCAAAGGTAGAGTAATTTGGATCACCTCTATAATTGTAAAGCTACACCCCAGTTTTGTCCCGAGTCATTTGACCGAGTGACATAATCACCAAATCGGGATGATCTTTCATCAATATTAACTTAAAATAGATTTTCTTTTTCTTTTTTTCTAGATGAAGACATGTAGTACATCCATTGCTTTTAAAGATTAGTAATCTAATTAGGCTCACTCAAGGGGCACAACTCGCATTGTGATTGTTAGATATAATATATAATCTAGGTTTACTATTCATTACTGTTCATTCTTTCCCTATATAAATTGACTTGGCCTTGTAGTTCTAATTCATTCAAGCAAATAATATACACAAAGTTCTCTCATCTCAACTTGGTATCAGAGCACCATTGTTACCTGAGGAGCGCCCATCGAGCCTGCCACACCGTGGCCGCCACGACGCCAGCCGCACCGGCCGCATCGCCTCGGTTCTCCGATAAGACCGAAGCTTTTCCTCACTGCTTGGCATACTTCCGCTGCTCATTTCGGAAAATCAAGACCACCAGCAGACTCGCCGCCCTCAGACGACCCACGTCCTGAAATTTCATTGCCAACAGCCGCCGGACGCCGCTACACGCACCGCCACGCGCCACCGCACCTCGGACCCAGGTAGCCCACCGCCGTTCACCGCTGTTCAGTGGTGTTTTGGACATTCTCCGTCGTGTTTTTCCAAAACCCGACACCAACCCACGACTCGCCGCCCTCAGTCGAGTCATTCAGTCAAATTTCGCCGCTTTCCTCCGCCGGACGCGCCTTCACGCGCAGCTTCAAGGTCTGCGCGTGAGATCCATGCGCCTCCACGAGCTGGCACGCGCCTGGCACGCGCTTGGCACGCGCCTGGCACACGCCCATCTGACGTCATCCACCACGTCATCCGTTGGTCGAACTTTGACCTAACGTTGACCGGCGTTGACCGGTTTAGACCAGACCGGTTCCGTCGATTTTCTGGCCGTTTCGACCATTTCCTGACCGGTTTTCGGTGTTTCCGACCGGTTCTTGAGGTATTTCGACGTCCTGAGTTCGTTTTTGCCGTTATTTTTCTCATATATGCTCTCGGTATACTAGATTCTGGTGATTCCATAATAGTAAAGTGCATATCATGGATAGAATGGAAGCCTCCATGCCAATTCAGACTATTTTGAATGGCTCTAATTATATTTTATGGTCTCAAGAAATATCAAGTTTCTTGAAAGGACGCCGGCTTTGGCGTTATGTCACTGGACAAATTAGTGTACCTACTAAAATTGCGGAAGAAACTGATGATCAATTTGTGGATCGTTTAGATGAATGGGATAGCAGAAATCATCAGATTCTCACATGGTTTCGAAACACTTCAATCCCATCTATCCGACTCCAGTTTGGCCTTTTTAATACAGCAAAGGAAGCTTGGGATCTTTTTGATCGTCGTTATTCTAGTTCAGATGTTGCCCATCAATATCGGTTATTAGGGACTTTATATCACATGCATCAGGAGCCAGGTCAGTCGATTAATGATTTTCTATCATCTATGCATGCTATTTGGGATCAGTTGACCTTGTGTGAACCACGCTTGGAAGGGGATAATAACATTCGCAAAGTTGCTGAACATCGTGATCGTATTCGTGTCATGCAATTTTTGATGGCTCTGAATGATGAGTTTGAACCTGTGAGAGCCTCCATTCTACATAGAGATCATTTTCCTTCGATAGAGACAGTTATATCAGATTTACTGAATGAGGAGACTCGGCTAGCTACCTTGAAAACGCAACATCCTACTATGCCCATATCCATGCCTATGGATGCAGTACTTGCCGCTTCGAGTTCTTCCTCCATGCGCCGTCCATTTTGCAAACATTATCGCCGACATGGTCATCTGGCATCAAATTGTTATCGGCTACGACCTATACAACCCACAGGATCGACCACTCAGCCTCGTAGCCGAGGTCCCTCACGAGGTCCCTTTGTTGGTCCATCTGCCAATGCTGCCACTGTCGAAGCTTCTTCCCATGGATCATCCCACACACTAGTGTCTCTAGAGGATCTTCGCACCGTTCTCCGAGAATTTGGTACCTTTACCCCTCCTATTCCTAGCACTTCTACTATGTCTACTACTCCAGGTATTTCTGATTCTTGGTTCTTTGATTCTGCTTGTTGCAATCACATGACATCCAACTCTGCCTTATTTCAGTCTAAATCCTCCGCTTTACATGCACCTCATATTCTTACTGCCGATAATTCACATATGAGAGTTAGTCATACAGGAAACATTTCCACATCTACATTATCTTTAACTAACACATTCATGGTTCCTAAACTCTCACTCAACTTGATCTCTGTTGGCCAATTGTGTGAACTTGGTCTTGATATTCACTTCTCTTCTCATGGTTGTCATGTGCAGGATCCTCGAATGGGACAGACACTTGGGACAGGCCGTAAAGTGGGGCGTCTCTTTGAGCTTGTTTCCCTAAATATTCCGACCTCTTTTGCTGCTTGTGCTGCCACAGTGTCATCTGAAACTTGGCATTCTCGATTAGGTCATGCTTCCTTTTCTAGGTTAAGCTCTTTAATTTCGAGTGGTCATTTAGGTTCTGTTGACACTAAACATTTTGACTGTCTGCCTTGTAAGTTGGGAAAACATCATGCTTTACCGTTTCAGATTAGTGATTCTGTGTCTCATGCTCCTTTTGATCTCATTCACTCTAATATATGGGGACCTTCTCCCACTCCCACCATGGGTGGCTCTCGCTATTTTGTCATTTTTGTGGATGATCATTCTCGGTATACCTAGCTTTATCTTATGAAAAATCGTTCTGAACTTTCTTGTGTTTATCGTGATTTCGTTGCTATGGTTAAAACCCAATTTTCACGGGATATTAAGATTTTTCGTACTGATAATGCTATGGAATATAGAGATACAGAATTTCTTCGAATTCTTTCTCAAAATGGTACTATCATTCATCGTTCTTGCCCTGGCACCTCTCAACAAAATGGTAGAGCTGAACGTAAGCATAGGCATATCTTAGATGTTGTACGCACTCTGCTCATCTCTGCCTCTTGTCCTGAACGGTTTTGGGGGGAAGCTTGTCACACTGCTGTTTATACTATAAATCGTACTCCATCACCTATTATAGGTCACATCTCTCCTTACGAGCGTTTGTATGGTAATGTCCCAAATTACACTATTCTACGTGTTTTTGGTAGTGCCTGTTTTGTGCACCTTCATCCACATGAGCGCACGAAATTAGAACCTCGTGCCCATGTATGTTGCTTCATTGGATATGGTATTGAGCACAAAGGGTATGGATGTTGGGATCCTACTTCCAATCGTCTTCGTGTGTCCCGTCATGTCACTTTTTGGGAACACAAGATGTTCTCTTCTATTCATCCCTTCGACCTCTTTGCTCATGTTCCTTTTTTTACCAATCCTTCCGTAGACTTATTTCCAGAAGATACCACACTTCCGTCCACATCTGACTCTTCCATTCCATATGTACATTTCCCTTATCTTGAAGCAGGGCCTTCTGGTGACCCCACTTTGGCCACTTCTGACGTGTCTGCACCTTCCGCGGATTCTCCACCAGCGGTCATTCCTTCCTCCCCTGATCGTCGCCCCACCAGAGTAAGTCAACCTTCTGTTTGGCTTCGAGATTACCATTGTTATTCTACGATAGCTTCCCTTCATGAACCTTGCATGTCTTACTTCTGTTTGCAGTCGTCTTGCTGTCGCCGCTGTTAAGCGTTGGCCTACATCTCAGATGGATGTCAAAAATGCATTCCTAAATGGCGATCTCATCGAGGAAGTTTATATGGTACCTCCTCCTGGCTACACTCATTCTTCCCACCAAGTGTGTCGATTACGTCGTGCATTATATGGATTGAAACAATCTCCTCGTGCATGGTATTCCAAGTTTAGCTCCACCATGGCATCTCTTGGCTTTAAATCTAGTCCTCACGACCACACTCTTTTTGTTCGACAAACTTCTCGTGGGTCTATTCTACTGCTCCTATATGTCGACGATATGGTTATTACTGGAGATGATCGTCCTGGAATTTCAAAACTCAAGCATTATCTTAGTCAACAGTTCGAGATGAAGGATCTTGGACAACTTAGTTATTTTTTAGGCTTGGAGGTTACCTGAGACACATCCGGTTATTATCTTTCGCAAGCAAAATATGCCACTGATCTTCTTTCTCGAGCAGGACTCACGGACACCAAGGTCATTACGACCCCTCTTGAGATCAATGCCAAATTTGATGCCGGTGATGGGACTCCTCTCCAAAACCCTACCCTCTATCGACAGCTAGTTGGCAGTCTTATATATCTCACTGTTACTCGCCTTGACATCGCTCATGCTGTTCATATTGTCAGCCAGTACATGACAGCGCCTCGTACAACTCACTTTGCTGCAGTTCTTCGTATTCTTCGCTATGTCAAGGGTACGTTATTTCATGGCCTTCACTTTTCAGCTCATTCGACATTGGAGTTGACTGCCTATTCAGATGCTGACTGGGGTGGTGACTCTCATGATCGTCGCTCCACTATGAGTTACTGTTTTTTCTTGGGCACTTCACTTATCTCCTGGCGTAGCAAGAAACAATCTACTATTGCTCGTTCTAGTACAGAAACTGAATATCGAGCTCTTGCTGATACTACATCAGAGTTATTATGGTTGCGATGGCTACTGGAAGATATGGGAGTCCGTCATCATAGCGGGACAATCCTTCATTGCGACAATCGCAGTGCTATCCAAATTGCACATAATGATGTTTTCCACGAACGCACCAAACACATTGAGATAGATTGTCACTTCATCCGCTCTCATGTTCTTCGTGGCACTCTACGACTTGTCTTTACTTCATCAGCTGATCAGACTACCGATATCTTCACAAAGACACATCCACCTGGGCGCTTCCTAGATCTTCTCTCCAAACTCCAGTTGACTTGTTTCAACTCACCTTGAGTTTGCGGGGATGTTAGATATAATATATAATCTAGATTTACTGTTCATTACTGTTCATTCTTTCCCTATATAAAGGGACTTGGCCTTGTAGTTCTAATTCATTCAAGCAAATAATATACACAAAATTCTCTCATCTCAACTGTGATCACCCTGTATAATCTTCACGATTCTGACACATTACTTTTTTTTTTCTTTTTTTTTCTTTTTTGGCATCACAAGTAAGAACGAAGTAACACTTACGTATAAATTTTTATTTTTGTGATTACTAACTAAGCCGGATGGCATAATATCGCATGTTAAAAAAGAAATTAAATAACGACAATCTACGTGATCCCCATAAGGTCAAAAAATAAAATAAAAAAATAGCAAGAGGGTGAGCTGAAGTTTACCATGGCGAGAGGAAGAGGCCGAACGATATGACGTTCCCTGCCCAGCGAAACAGCAAAGGTACAGTCAATAAAGCTCTCTCCGAGAGAGAAATCATCAGGAATGAAAAACCACGAATTCCATCACAAAAGTCGAAACGCATCGGACCAACGTTTTCGAAATCTAAGTTGTTTCATGCCTAAAGCGGAGTGGTGCTCGAAAGTTTGTTTTCTGCACGTATCTATCTGATTCGCATGAAGTTTTGATGGTTTTCCCTTTATCATCGCGCCTTCAAATCTGGCATTTCATCTCTATCGAGAAGCAGAAAGTGACAGAACGCATGACGACGATGGTTTGAAATCCTGTCCCAAACAAACGATCCAGTATAAACGCGCACCAATAAAAAAAGAAGAAAGAAAAAAACCGCGAAGCTGGCGAGACGATCATCGCATTGCTCTCTCCGATCAAGCATTTATGGCGTTCGCCTCTTATCCAACGCCATGCACGACGGATCGTTTCGGAAACAGGCTTAGCTAGCTAGCAATCAGGAACAGTAAAAAAAACGAACAGCACAAAAACAGCGGACACGATCGCTGTAGCTGCTTAAAACATCCAACAGCAGCGCGAAAGAAGAACGCGATCTCGCGCTGGCGACAGATAATCCCGTCGTGGATTGTCCGGAAAATCGCTCGCGCGATGCCGACCTCGTCATCGACCGCGAAAACTTAAAGGAGAACGCCGACGATTTGGGGAGTGGCGATTACCGATAATGCCAACCACGTTCCGAGCCGCTTCAGCCGACACCATCTCTTCGCCGGAGCAAAGACGCAGCTTCTCTTCGCGAGCTAGAGAGAGAAAGGGGGGAGATGAGAGAGAAGCGCCTTGGTGCTGCGATTCTGGTGATGATCTGATCGGTGCAAGCTGCGAGCAGTGCGGTGCGGTGCAGTGCGAGCGAGAGTATATATATAGGAGAAAATATTGGCACCGCTGTGATTCTACCGTGGCAAAATACAAGCCACTCAGTGGGCGACACGTGTCCCACGGCCCCACCGCGGTCTGAAAATTTGAAAAGCAAAGACACACTCTCTCTCTCTCCTCGCTTTACCTCGCGCCCGCGTGCCCCAAGTTCTCACTTCCCAGATCTGCACTCTCTCTCTCTCTCTCCACTCACGCTCTCTCCCGACTCACGTCTCCGACAAACGACGCCAACGCCAACGCCTCTGCCACGCCCTAGGCGACGGCGATGCCTTCACCTCTACTCGGACTCCGATTGTACCACTCGACGCCTCGCCAACGCCCTAGCAGATGCCTCCACCTCTTTGTACCTCTTGACGCCGACGCCGACGCCTCCGCCCCGACACGCTCTGTTGTTCTCGCCGTCTCTGCCGACGCCCTAGCCGATGCCCTAGCTTGAATACGTTTAAATCGGATTGCAAAAATCGGTTATTATTTGGTTAACTTTCGAGTGCTTATTGAATAGTGATCGATCTGTTTGGTAACGCAAATAGTCGCCCATCATATGTGAGATAAGTTTCTGTATTGAATCGGTTGGTCTAATTCGGCACTTTTTTTTGTGATTCTCTCAGTCTATCTATGTGGGTCTGTCTTATTCAGCTTATTCAAATCCGATTTAAACATATTCAAGCTCATTCGGATCCGCTGCCGCAGCGGACGCCGGGTCATGGCTACCCTGATGGCCCTTACGTGGTTCCGCCACCGGTTACTTACCCATCGAAGGATGGCCCTTATGTAATGAGTGTATCAGTAAAGTTTTTCTTCCATGTACAGCTCTGTTTGGTTGCTAGGAAATAAATTTGGATAGGACAAGTTTACTGAAACACCGGATACGAAAGCATTTCTTATCTGCTTTTCCCTCTTTATTTGTGATGCCAAAAAAAGAAAAAGAAAAAAGAAAAGTAATGTGTCAGAATCGTGAAGATTGTACAGGGTGATCACAATCCGAGTTGTGCCCCTTGAGTGAGCCTAATTAGATTACTAATCTTTAAAAGCAATGGATGTACTACATGTCTTCATCTAGAAAAAAAAGAAAAAGAAAATCTATTTTAAGTTAATATTCATGAAAGATCATCCCAATTTGGTGATTATGTCACTCGGTCAAATGGCTCGGGACAAAACTACGGTGTAACTTTACAATTGTAGAGGTAATCCAAAATTACTATACCTTTGGGACCACTGTAGTGTACTCAAATTTGAACTTGTTCAAGAGAACACTTTGATATTTTTCTAGGTTAAGTAATGCATTGATGTCACCTGTACATTGCTCTCAATTACTAAGGTTTCTATATCTGTTGGTTTGCTTTGCAGTCCGACGTTTTATAGAATCATAAAGAACAAGTCGGTGGAGGAGTTTCATGTGTATCCTTACCTTGCTACCGTGTTGAACTGCATCTTCTGGATTGTCTATGGCTTGCCCTTTGTCCGTCATGACAGCATCCTTGTCGTCACCATCAATGGCGTTGGGCTTGTGATAGAGCTCATCTACATATGCATTTTCTTTTCATATGCTCCAAACAAGGGAAGGGTATGTGCTCATTATGTATTTGAGCTTTATCCGTTCATTTTTTCTTTGTCTTGATTTATAAAGATTTACTTTCAAATCTGTCTTACCGATAGTTTTTCTACTTACCGTGCTATCTGAATGGAATTCTACTGGAATAAAGTGATAAAAGTTCCAGTTATGCATTTCAAAGTTCTGTACAATAATTGGATACATGCTGTCACTAATTCAAATTTATTCAAATAGAACATTGTTGGTATACAATAATCATAGATGCATCGTAGTTAATCTTGTTCTCTCTTCTTCTTTTTTCCTGAATTTGGCATTTATTTAGTTTGCCGCTCTTGTAAAGTTTTTCTAGTCAAAGATCGGTGATTATGTCCTATCCTATCTATATAACACTCATCCATCAAATTAGAATGTGTCACATATCTTAGTTTTCGGCCGATGTACCTCAAGTCAAGGCACTAAGTAATACCGTTTTCTAGACACTCCAATTTCCAAATTTTGTATTGTACAAACACTCATTCCGTCCTAGGCACTTTGACAAGTTTCAGAACATTACGATTGACAGCTAATGCTCACTTCTTCTGTTTTTGCAGAAAAAGGTGTTCTATTGTCTCTGCGGGGAAGTTGTCTTCATTGCCGTGGTGTCACTGGTGTTCCTACTGGTTTTTCACGACCACAAGAGAAGAATTCTCGCCTTTGGAATTATCTGCGACGTGTTCAACATCATAATGTACAGCTCACCTCTTACCATCATGGTACGTACACATCCATCCCCCTTCCCTCGTTGTAAACTAAAACCATATTTTATCAGTTCCGGCAAATGCTGATCCTTTCATTGTCTAATTTTGCCTCTTTCTTTTACCTTTGTCTACTGCAGAAAAAAGTGATCACCACAAAGAGTGTGGAGTACATGCCCTTCTATCTCTCGCTAGCCAACTTTCTCAATGGCTGCGTGTGGACTGCATATGCCCTCATCAAGCTCGACGTCTTCATACTGGTAATTGAAACAAAACTTGAATGTATTTTCAACCCTTTCACTTTCAAAGTCAAGAAGCATGAGAAACGTAAAGAAAAAGCCACATACATGAATAACTTGGGAACAACCCTCCTGCAGATTAGCAATGGTCTCGGGGCGCTCTCTGGTGCGGCACAGCTCATCCTCTACGGTTGCTACTTCAGGTCCACGCTGATGTCAACAATCAAAATTTGAAATTCGATAAATATGCTGAGCTTAACTGCTTAAGAAGACTCGAAATCCGCAAGATGAGCCACATGGCTTGTAGAAAAATTGCGGAAGTCCAACAGTTAGAGCCTCAGAATGGAAAATTACAAACAAAGACCTTCAATTTAATTTTCTTCACCGACTCTGCTATGAAGAATCAATCTGTATATCCTCCAATTTCATATCACTGAAGACAAACCGTTCGGTCTATTCACCATGCAATGCAATTAATGAAAAGAAAGAATGCTACCTTGCTCATTTCTAGCTGTAAATACAATAATGCCTGCCCCATCCCCAATCAAGCATTTGGCGATCCTCGTTTGACGCACTTGCGACCCATCAGGACGGCCCTTCTGCATTACCATCTTCGAACTCACGACCTTCACTGTGAGAGTGTGGCCACTAGTTCCAGGACGTAACTGATCTACCTTGGTGAACACTGGTTTCCTCATTGCAGGCTTTGCTTCAGCCATCTATACAAAATTAGAGTTAGTCAAGGTGCGCCGTCAACTGAATCCTTCACCTATTTTGGCTCTATCCTAATCGAACTAACAGCAACCACGGACGACCTACGTGCCCCCGCCAAAAAAAAAGGGTTGCAGCGTCCCGTCAGTCATGACACTTCAAACCAACAATTGCGCCTTAACTTTATCCACTCAATGAAAACCCGCATCAATTACGACAAGAACATTGCCGATTTGAGGTAACATATACCCAATTAGCAGGAAGATCCGAAGTAACCACATACACGCAAAATCACACAACTTTGCACACGTAAACACAATCATTCCAGATAACATATTATCAAGCTCGCACTACTAAACTGAGCCAGAATCCACATCAACACTACCTCTAAAAGCTACCAGCGTTCCTTCAAAAAACATCACATATTAACAGCAGCAGCATCACCCAATTGTCACATCAAAATGTGCCATTCACCAACACACGATTAGCACGAAGACCATCAAAAGGCGATCAGAAATCTCTAAGAAGAGGTCGAAATCATACTTAATGATGTAACGGGGGAAGCGCAATCATACTTAATGATGTAACAGGGGATGAATACTGAAAGACAGATGGAAGATGAATGTTGTAGAGTGATTTTTAAATGTGTGCGTTTGCTTATGGGGATTGAATTTCGGATTTGATACTCTCCGGCCTCGCCGCCAGGCCTACATGTTGTTGGGTGATTGATAGGAGCTTTAGTGGGCATCCCCTTGATGTAATGTCGGTGTTATCAATAATGAAGCTATCGCCTTAGCGTGGGCTGTTCCATTGGTGATTTCCTCTTTGTCGAGTCATTTTTTCTGCCGTGCTATTAATTGGTGGGACAACATGAAATTTGACGATGTGGGCGGGCTGCTCAATAACCACGACGTGTACCAAAAGCAGTTGGCCAGTCTCAGTCGCTTTCCTCTAGTTTTAGCTGATAAAATTTTGGCAATGGAGATGGTAAGCACGTCTTCGCGATCGGCATCATTCCCCTGCCGAGATTCCTCGGTTCATGTCTCGCCCGCGCGCTCCAACAAGATGGGCGCGAGGACGAGACTAACCCGACCTAATACAGTTCTAGTCGCTTCCGAAAGGAACTAGTTTTCCGTTTGTTTCGACCCGCTCCAACGGGAGAACCAATGGCATCTCGAAATGCAATGAGAGGACATCGATAGAAACATGAACTTTATGGCCATTGTGGTGTGCGGGAGGGGTCAACATTTTCGGGCAGCTCATCAAAGTCCCAAGGACTATCCAGGATTCGGGTTCACGCGTCTCCCTGGTCCTGCAAAATGGTATTAAATACACCAGACCTAACCCCTGTTAACGCTTTGAGAAATGAGAATCACGTCTCATCTGTCATATCACCATCACTCCCCGCGTTTCGTCTGCAACCCTTCCACATTGGTGGGGGGGCCCTCGTTCATTCATGACGTCCCATTTAGACCTGTGGCCATGGAAGGAAATTTTGTGCTGGACCACACTACCCAGTTCATGAAAGTTCCCATTGGACACCTGTAAATGTACACCTTATCGAGGAAAATTGACAAGAGGAATTGGACGTGGGCGGTTGAGGAAAATGTCACCCGCCTGTTTCGTGGTTTCATCCGCATGTTCAGTTCAACAGGTGAATCTTAAGAACATCTGCTGGATGTGAAAAATTTCGTTCATTTGGTCGTGGAAGTAAATTACACTGACGAGATGTTTAAAGAATGCCGTTGTGCCTTCCGGGAGAGGGTTGCATCAGATCACAGCATAGTAGCTCACTGCTTGATGCCTCTTCCGTCGATCAGCCCCGGTGCTTTACCTCATTTATCACGTAAAGCAGCTGGCGACGGCACCGCCTGCGAAGTTCACTGGTTCAACAGATGCCCGTGTTCTCGAGTGAACGAGTATTGGCTCTGGAAATGTTGCGTAATTAACGAAGAGTTCACTTCTCCAAAACTTCATGGCTGCTCGACCGCTTGTTGGCGCTTCGCATACTCGAGGACTCTGAAGACGTGTATGAAGCATTAATTTTTCTCGCTGCTCTCGACACGAAACTGCTCATACTGGAGGACCTATTAGAGCTGGCCGGTCCTGATGCATTGGCATTTAAAAATGGGGGTTGAGTCGGCTCGGGGATCGCAACATTCTCACAAGTCAGCATCTGCACCACCTCGACCATAGAGGGTCTAGCAGCAGCTGAAGCCTGTGTACAAAGAAGTCCTATCTGAAGGACATTCCAGGCCTCTTGTGCAGGAAAATCGCCATTCAAGCAGGAGTCAACAGCTCCGACCAAGTTGTCCGACTTGTAAAAATTCCACACCTTGGATGAATTGCAAGAATAAAGCATCAGCAACGATTAGTCATCGGATTTAGAGGAAGATTTGAATTTTGCTTGAACCTACCATCTGTAATAGAGAAACAGGCTCCTCCCTGAATGAACTGCTTCTCCTGCCACAAATGATTTCAAGAACTAGCACTCCGAAACTATAGACATCGGCTTTCTCTGTAAGTTGTCCCCTGACAAGATATTCGGGAGCCATGTATCCACTGCAATACAGTAAACAATATCTCCTCAGAGGTCGAGTGCGAAGAGTGAAGAGTGCATCGGGCAAATAACACAGAATGATTCACGCTGTAAATTTTCGCAGGAAAAGATAAAACTTCAGAATTAGCTCCGAGGGGGTGAAAATATCGAAACTCTACTTGCTTGTAGTGGGTATAATCATATTGGCAACAACATTACCCATTGACAGTTCATTATAGAATATAAACGGACGAGTGCAGTATCAGATCTACCTTGACATGTCTTAGTGTGCTTTCTTAGGAGAAAACAAGTTCTTCAAAGAAAGAGCAGAAACAAGGAAAATAAAATAACCCAATCAATTCACTCACAGTGTCCCTGCTATTCCAGTGCTAAGATGAGTCTTGTCGGGTCCGAAACACCGAGCGAGGCCAAAGTCGGCGATCTTCGGGGTGAGGTTCTCATCCAAAAGTATGTTGCTGCCTTTGATATCCCTGTGGATGATCCTTTCTTTACACCCTCCATGTAGATAAGCAATCCCTTCGGCAGTGCCGGCGATGATATTCATCCTCTGCTTCCAGTTGAGAATCTGTATTTTGTTCCTGTCTGCAAAGACAACCCGATATCGTCACTTCTATCACTACACAAGCCTGTTTGGTCCTCTTGCATTACTTGTAATACATACACTTCATGTGCGATCGCTTAAGGAGAAACAATTACCGGATATGTAGTCATCGATGCTCTTGTTTGGAACGTACTCATAGACAAGGAGGCTCTCGGGACCTTCGATGCTACAGCCCAGGAGCTTCACAAGGTTCTTGTGTTCAATGCCGCTGATCAGATTCACCTCGTTGAAGAACTCATCAACCCATTGCCTGGTATTAAAAATCAGTCTCTTGACGGCCACGACTTTGCCACCAGGGAGAGTCCCCTTGTACACAGAACCAGCACCTCCTTGCCCGAGTTTCTTCAAATGGTCGAAGTAATTCGTCGCCTTCTCGAGCGTCTCGTACTTGAAATTCAGACTCGATCCAATCGAAATCTTACGGAGATGGATATTATCTGGGAAATCATGCAGCCAAAGTCGACAAGATTAGACGAGAATGTCACCTACAAAATTTGAATGACCCTACAAAAGCAACAGTTCAGCTGATTGTCATACCTCCTTTTAGTTTCAACACCCTAGCATAGCATGCATAAGCAGCGAAGACAGAGAGCATTATGCAAGCTGCCGCCACCAAGACAACCGCTACCGTGATCCCGGTCGAAGACGACCCTGAAATTAACAAAAAAGAAATATAAAAAAATAAAAAATCAGTTCACGGTTCATGCCTTGCAGAAATAGCTCAGCATTGTTGAAGCAGAATATCTAGATCATGTGTCTGATGAACTTTAATATATAAAATTTGCGGCAAGCACGAGGAAACTAAGAATCTGCAATGCGCGAGGCATGAAACAAATCATCGAGAACTTATCGGGGTCTACATCTACCTCTGGTGGATGACTTCGTGAACAAACATATCTGTGTTCAAGATCCAAATCCTGAACAGAATCGCAATTCTATTTAAGCGCAATATGCAGATCGTGCCTATCGGTCGAACCATGGAGTTGATGCCTTAACCACCACGGAAGAGCATCACCAATTAGCATCATTGAGCACGAATGTATTGTACCATGCCAATCATCGCACCAAATCATCGACGCATGAAGAACAAAAACAGAGGAGAGTTTTCCATTAAAGAAGATAGTTTATTCACCATGATCAGCTTCGCTCGCTCCTCCGTCACTGTAAAACTTCACGGTCGAATACCTCAGATAACACCCCGCGTTCAATCCCCTCCCGTCTCCGCTCGGCACGCACTTCCGGACCCCCATTTCCGCCTTCTCCAAGCAAACACGGCAGCCCTCGGTGCTGATGCTCTCCCAGCACTGCGCCAGCGCGTACACCCCTCCCGCCTCGGCCACCCCGAACCCCCCGCCGCCCCCGCTCGCGGCGGCCCGAGTCGCGTTGCCTACGGCGGACCCCACGGCCGCCGCGAACCCCTCCCCCGCGGGCTCGCCGACGGCGCCGCGGTCGGAGCTGCAGTTGGTGGAGTCGTAGACGGGGTCGACGGCCTCGGCGAAGAAGTCGTAGCGGTCGTAGCGGAGGAAGCAGCCGTCGAAGTAGATGCGGGCGGCGGGGGAGGGGAGGCAGCGGGGGAGCTTGGTGCGGCTGGCGGCGAAGCAGAGGAGGCAGTCGGTCTGGGAGAGGTCGCGGCGGCACTGGGAGAGGCCGTAGATGGCGGCGCCGGGGGAGGAGTTGGTGACGCGGGTGGCGAAGTGGCGGGTGGTCATGAGCTGGGAGAGGGACTCCATGTCCCTGACGAAGGACGGTACGAGGCTGGGTGCGGCGGCTGCGGCGGAGGAGGAGGAGTTGCCGCAGGAGAGGCCGGCCTCGGAGATTTTCTCGTCGGAGAGAGACGGCGTGAGGGAGAAGAAGAAGACGACGGCGGCGGCGGCGGCGACGAAGGCGGAGGAAGGAGTAGGCATGGCGGCTGCGCGAGAGCGCATGCAGTCAGAATCCATGCGTGCTTCTTGCGGGCATTGAAGCTCTTTGCAGAGGGAGCTCAGAGTCTCTGCTCTGCGTTTCTTGCTTTCCTGCCTTTCTGGAGGAAGGCGAGGTGGCTGACAAGTTATTATTAGCATCAACTATGCACTCGTTGTACTCAAATCATTAAAATAAAAAAATCATAAATCACATTATTAAGTTCCATTTCCGCCTTATTAAATAAAATGATTCAAATATATATATCTATTAATATATGCACTCGTTGAATATTACTTGTGAAAATAACAAATTAGCATGCGAGTGAGATCTGTATAATTAGATAGGTTTTTTTTTTTAATTTCGGCACGCCTTTGGCATGATCTCTTAACGTAATTATGACATGTACACGTTTTCGATTGCAAAACATTTTCATCATCCACGAAAATATTTAAACATAAATCGTTATCGATTATGAATTCTTTTCATTAATTAATTAATTCAAGTGATATTTTTTTAAGCAAATGCTTTTCTGATCATTCATTTTTCGGCGAAGTAATTAGAGCCTAAGATAACGTAAAATTGAATCGGAGGGCGCGTTCCGGTCTTCCTACGAAAAGGTTTGGGTAACCAACTTCGTCTTGGGTCGATAGCATTGCATTGCGTTGTTTGGCATGGTGTGGTGTGGGTTAAAAATGACTTCTTCTTTTTTGTCCTCTTTTGATTGGGTTTTTGTCGGCAGCTGAAGGAAGGGTGGGGACACGTGGCTTGTCGGAATGATGGCGGAAAAAGGGTAGAGAAAAATTGGGAACACGGTCGTCCACCGCCACGCCGCCACTTGGGCTCGCCGGATTCGTCGCCACGCCACGTCCCTCCCCGGGACGCGCGGGGGCCCACGCACCGTCGTACCTCCCGGTCGCGCAGCGGCGGCGGGGCCGGGGCCCACCGGGCGTTTTCCAAACTAACCCGCGTCGGGCAGCCACTGTGCCACCAAACCTTTCCATCCCTCCCGCTTTTGCTTGCTTCCTAAAAGGCTTGTTTTCTATTCACAAGAAGGAAAAGATCATTGCTTTCGATACTCTCGTGTTATGTATAATCCGCCATATCGAAAATGAAGTAATTGTTTATCGATTAGAGATAATAGGTGTCTCGAAAAGTAGTCGTTGACGGGACTTATTCTTTCAAAAAAATGCATGCTAAACAGTTCGTTAAGTAACCATTTAAATTTGACAAAAAAAAAGTAACCATTTAAAGAAATTTTACATTTATCAAATGCGATATTTTTTCCTTTTGTTAAGTGTAATTTGTGGCTTTTACGGAGTATGCTTGTTAACATAACCCATTTTGTGAATATACTATGTTTACTGGCTCATGTGTGTTTTCTCCGTGCTAGTCCTAGCTCGCGAGCGCACGTAATTGCAAATTGTCACGCCATTGTCATCTAACGAAGAGTAAAAGGTAATTCGTGACTACAACTTTATAAAAACAGTTAGGTTTGACTGAAAGTAATAACTATCATCTGAGTAAGGGATGAATGAAAAGCTAGTTTACGTGGTCGAATCAAATCAAAAGTTCAATTCATGAGCTAGATCAGGAAAAATCAAAGTAATTTGGTTTAAAATTATTTAAGACGACGTAGAATTGATAATTTGATTTTTATGTCGACTCAATTGATTACTTACTAATTATACACCAGACAAAACATCGATTCAATTTTAATATGTTACCGAACTAATCGAATCGATTTGGTTTATTTTCGTCTTTTCCATATCGGAAATGGGCGATCATTTCCAAATTAAACGAATCTCATCACACGTTCGGCATTTGTTAACATTTTTCACTTCGAATTTGTTTACTAACTCTGCATCTCTCACTTTCCAAAGATGGAAAAACATTGCCAATCTTTTACCAATCACAAGGTCTCAATCTCAATCTATTGAGAAGCTTTTTGCTCTCCTAATCAACCCAAGTCTCCCCTCAAACTTTTCCACGAGCCAATCTCCAATTCTAGTCACAATTTAGTTCTCGATATGCGCAGGTCGGACCATTGGGTGCCCACTACAGAGCGACAAAGGACGATAATTTCTTATTCCTTGGGACAGATATCGTGAAGTCATGATCGAATCAAATACGAAAAGAGTGAGAAAGCAAAAGAGAAAGTCAAAAAAGTTATTTTGTGTCGTGTTCTTCTCTTGATATGCAGCTTTCGCAACCACCATAGACGCGTGTTTTAAATTCTCCATTTGACTAACTGACCCGCCATGCGAAACAGCACGCAAAAGCCACGACAACTTTCGGTGAGCTTATGCACCAAGTCAACTCTAAAAGCCACCTCAAAACAAGCCAATGCTATGTGAACTTAAATCGGATGTTAAGACTAGTTCATCAGTCCCGCCGACACACACCGAGAAGAGAATCCATATGAACATAGGTGAGGGCAAAAGGTGTCATACCTTATGGAGTCGCATCTGCATGCCCGACCTAATCGAAACCCGCAGGGAAAACAATATCGGACTATGAACTTGTGGTATGACGGGGAGAAATTGCATGTTCACATAAAGACGAAGCATTAGACTATCAGAACATCCTGAGAAATCCTGACAAGGAACATGTAGGCAAAACAAAGGGAGGACACACTAGGGAGGAAAAAAGATGAGCATTCAAAACTACGTTGGCATATGAATACCGAGAAAACCCTGTGAAAACGCATTTTATTTCCGGGGGAAAAAACGCTCTACTTTTACAGGCTTGAAGTATCCGTCTTGGAAATCAAAACTATGAATATACAGAAGTTAAGGGATAAATACATTGTCGTCACAATTGCTACCTAACAAAATTTTTCATGGTTAAGCAAAGTTCACTGTCCGATTCTGGGACCCTCGTTTTAGGGTTAGCACCTGAGATTTGGCACCCACTAACACCAAGAGGAAACTTGCAGCACCATATCAATCATTTCTGGAGGCTTAATGAAGATTCGTTAGTGGGTTAGCACTAGCTATAAAGAGGGAGCTTTGTAACACAGTATTTCGCCCAGATGCAGCTTGTCAGAAATGCACCGGAGCTGCTGAAGAGAGATTGCCACCACAATTGGTTGACGGCACTTTTAACGCGTCCTTTGAGCTGGCAGGTGGATATACAACTCCTAATCATCGTTCAACAGAGACATAACGGGAACTCCCTTGCTGGAGAAGCTCGTACACACCACTCTCAGCGGATCACCAACTTCATAGTCTGCCTTACCTTCTCCCTGTTATGGAATGAAATTTTGCAGTTAAAGTAAACACAATAAATTCCAGAAGTGAAGACATCTTGCACTAATCATCTCAGGCCTAGACTAGAGGAGAAAAGAAATCGATTTTCTGATTTATATAATGAGGATATGTAATGCATTTGAAACACTTATAACACATCACTTAAATAATATCAGTCCACCCTAGAGTCCCATTATGAAATTGAAAACCGCAGAAAAGGCAAATCGCATCCTAGTTATGGGAGAGCTTGTTGAGGAAGTGCACTAAAATAACACTGTCCCATCTAACATCAAAATGCTAAAGGAGCAACTGTAAACACAGCAATCAGCAATTAGAGATGATGGGCAAAGTAGTCCATGTTCATACATACCTCAAACCGGTACATTCCCCGAACACCATTACCCAAATCAAGGACCAACCCTCGTCCAAGAACTTTATGGACCTTGGCAGTTACCCTCATCCCAAGCTTCAAATTCTTGGCAGTGGGAGCCTTTTTCTCAGTTTCTTCATCACCTTCTCCACTAAAAGTGGACTTTAACTGGCTTCTCTTTTCGGTAGAACTTGCCGACTTCTTACTCTGCACAATTACAAAGAGAGTGCAATTAGATGATGGAGTATCAAATAAAGTATCTAGATGTTATCTCTTCTCAAATTCCCATTGTGCTTACCAACTTAGAATTTTTCAAAGTTTCAAGCAGACCATCAGATTTCTCCGCTTCCTCACACTCAGCAGCACTTCGAATTAAGATAGATGGTGCACGGGATGCATAGCTCTCTGTGCTTTGGGACGAACACTCTTCCTTGGAATTTTGTTCTGGACTACTAGGCCCATCTTTGACAGACGGCCAAATAGGAACAGCTTGCTTAACTGCATTATTTGGCTCTGACGCTTGTTGGGGTGAAGTTGCTTTGAGGGATAATTTAATATTGCCACGTACGTCCTGCCCTATGCACATCACTGTCAGCTGCTGGCCCACCGAAATAACATCCGAAACACGAGATACCTGATCAATTGGGAATTTAAGTTTCATGTCAGCGTTATCCACCTTATACGAAAAAGGTAATATTCTAGAAGCAAGTTGATACACCACTAACCAATGACTCTTTGATTGAGCCACTGCCACAATTTCACATTCACATGGGTAGACACGTCCCAATGAAAATATCCACAATCCAACATTTTTTCGATACAGATATAGATAAATGGAAAATGTAATTGCGGATCCAGCAACTTCATTAAACACTTTCAAGGTAACGAGATAGAGTACCTTGAAATTGTCCATACATTTGACCGATGCAACAATTAAGGACAATTCTAATGCTAACATTCAACAATAAGCAAATAATTCTCCAATGTGCCAACTTTTATATCAGGCAAAAAACTGCCATGCATCATTGATATCAAGAAAATTCAAAAGGTCAAGAAACCATTAGATTTCAAATAAATAGAAACAGGCGGGTAATTGATACACTCCTCCACCTTACATACCGGTTCATGTGATAACTCGGAGATGTGCAGCAGGCCTTGCTGGCCACCATTTAACTCCACAAAAGCACCATATTCCTTAATTGAAGTTACAATGCCTTTGTAAGCACCTCCAACCTCCATCTCACGGCCAACAGTAAATTCAATCTGAGGACAAGAGAAGAGAGCAACTGTGATTTCTTTATCCAAAAATATCACAATAAGTAAATTTCCCAGGAACAGACTTCCAAAAACAATATGTAGAGCACTGTTGGATCCAAAAAATATAAACTAACAGACACACAAAGACCATTTCATGTAACAAACAATGCAGTCTCTTACATGAAGCAATTCACCATGCTATAAACAAGTGAAATCCCCACTCCCACTCGGTTTCTAATGTTGAAAACTTTAGAACAA